TTTTTTTATTAATATAGTTAAAATATCTATAGTTAAAAGAATATTTTATTATTATTATATTAAGTATTAATATAAAGGTTTTAACTTTTTTAATAAAAATTATTAAGACCCTTTATTTAACCTTAATAACCTTAATAGCTTTATTATTACTAAGCTTACTTTACTTAATATTAATACCCTTAGCTATATTACTTATTTTTATATTTTTTTAAGTATATAAAAGGTTATTTATTAAGAAAAGATTAAGTTTTTAAAGCTAATAAATAAAAAGTATTTAAAGCAGGACTATTTTATTATAAAGTTAAAGGAAAATTAGGCTTAGTTAATATTACTTTATACTTTATAGCTATAGCTTTAAGGCTAATATACTAGATATAAGTTACTTAGTAACTTAAAGAGGAAAGGTAGCTATAGAGGAAAGGTTAAATTAAGGTGCTCGCACCAACCCAACGATCCCCGACTCTATGAGGTCTGTGATAAGCTCGGTCTGTATGTTATGGCAGAAGCAGATCTCGAGACCCATGGCTTCGATCCGGTCGAGCGCACAGCTATCCAAGGATCTGAACACATGGACGGCCGTGAAGTTCAAGAACTTTCCTATTCGAAGGCTGCACGATGGACTTCGGATAATGCTGAGTGGCACTCTACATATCTAGATAGGGTCAGTCAGCTTGTCGAAAGATTCAAGAACTTCACCTGTATTGTCTTCTGGTCCCTAGGAAATGAAGCCTTTTATGGACAGAATCATGCTGCCATGTATCGATGGATCAAATCATCAAAGAGAGGGATCCTACCCGACTTGTGCATTATGAAGGTGATCGAAAAGGCGCTACCACTGATTTCTATAGCGTCATGTATGCCACGCCAGATGAGCTTGTGCAGCATGTAAAGGAGAATCCAGATCGGGCACTTATCCAGTGCGAATATGGCCACGCCATGGGGAATGGTCCGGGAGGATTGACCAATTATGTTGACCTGTATCGGTCCGAGCCGCTCCTTCAAGGAGGTTTTGTTTGGGAGTGGTGCAATCACGGACTACTTAAGAGAGATGGCAACTTGCTTTATTATGCATATGGTGGCGATTTTGGGGACAAGCCTAACGATGCTGATTTTGTTCTGGATGGAGTCGTTTTTTCGGATCATTCTCCCTCACCTGGCTTACTGGAGTACAAAAAGCCATAGAACCCGTGTCAGTTCGGCTTGAAAAAGATAAGATCATCTTTAAGAATCATTACGACTTTGCCGACCTCAGCCACCTTGTTGCTTCCTGGCATCTAGTCGGGGAAACTGGAGACACAACGCCGACACCATTGGAGCTACTGATTACCCTCCCAGGTGAAGAAAGCGCCGTGGATTTTCCGAGCCCCCCCAATGACTTTCGTGGAGAAACTTGGCTCTCGATTCATATTTTCCTCAAGAACGAAACTGTCTGGGCACCTCAAGGTCATGAAGTCGCCTGGTCCCAGATGTTACTCTCCAAGCCTCAAGCATCTGGGCTAGCCCCGGTGATAGGCAACCGAGATTTGGTGCTGTCATTGCAAGAGTTTCCAGGAAAACTAGTCGTATCATGGCCAAGCTTGGACCAACCATTTGATATAGATCTTGTCAGCGGCAACCTTACTTGGGCCAACGAAAAGGGTACAGTTCTTTCGAAAGGACCAGAGTTGAGCTTGTATCGGGCTCTCACTCAGAACGATCTCGGCTTTGGGGGAGACGGCAAGGAGTGGTCCAAGTTTAGGGTTGCTGAAGCTAGTACCCATATTCAATGCTTCACGTGGTCGGTCAACGAGGATCATACTGTTACAGTCAAAGCAGCTGTGAGGGTTGCTCCTCCGGTTCTGGAATGGGCTTGTGATGCTGATATTACTTATACTCTTGGTTTTGGCGCCATATCTATTCATGTTAAGGGTGGATTCTCGGGGACTGTTCCGAAACATATCCCACGTCTAGGTCTTACAATGTCGTTACCCAAGGTCTACAACAAGGCAACTTGGTTCGGACGCGGCCCTGGAGAGTCATACAGGGACAAGAAGGAAGGAGCTAGATTCGGTCGATGGTCAGCGTCAATCGAGGACTTGCAGACCAAGTATGAATGGCCACAAGAGAATGGGAACAGGAGTGACGTCCGATGGGTCCGGATTGAGTCTGGGAATGCGACTTTGTTGGCTTGCATGGACGTTCCTTTGAACTTTTCGCTGAGGAAATATTCGTTAGAGGATTTGGATAAATCACTTCACCCATACGAGCTCACAGAGTTGGATGAGACAGTGTGCAATCTCGATTTTGCTCACCATGGCATTGGGTCTGGAAGTTGTGGACCGCTGGCTTTCGAGGGAGACCGTCTGGAGACCAAGTCTTTCGAGTTCAGAACATTACTAAAAGTAGTGTAAATAGCAGAAGCGCCTCTGTCTTTTCATTCCAGGCTCTCTATCACTTGTAGCTGGGTTTGGTTACCTAGCTTTTTCTAGATCTCCACTCGATAGTGGACTTCAAGCAGATGTCAAATAGAAACCAGAATGTCGGCTGGCTGAGGCGGCAGCGTCAGGACATACTGCAATCTGATGCTTTGTACTTGTGCTGACAGTGGGAGGGTCTTCTTGACAAACCCCGATTGGAGACAGAAATAGACCTTGGGATAGTCCATCCGGTAGGAATAGAGAATTTGGGAGACAAAGGGCCCGAGATCTCACATCGCCCGCCTGCTTAGTACCCAGAGTTAATCCAATAGCTAGTAACCCAGAAATGCGTTGATGCCCAAACGCTTGGTGCAATATGTCACTCGCCACCGAACGATGTCCATGCCATGATACCATGTCGCACCTGACGATAAGACGTGGTTACTTGCTCTCATCACCTACCACTCGTGTCTGCATTGCACTGGCTTGGCTGGTCTTATCCAACTTACCGGACATTTCTGCGGAACCTAACTCCTTACAGATATCTCTCTCCACCCAGCATGCTTATAACCGTGAACGTGGCCAAGAGGATTGTTACACTGCTTCCAAGATTCCGATCTCTTTCTCTAGTCGCATGTTGTGTAACCACCGCACACTTCGAAATGTCTAGACCTTTCTCGGCGATCTCCGCCCGAGCCATAACAGGAGGCACAGGACTCGAAATCTGCAGTGTTAATGTCTCGGCGTGACAAACTACGTGGCCAGTATTCTCGAGTTCACCAGCCTGAGTATTTGATACAAGGCCGCGCTTCACAGGCACTGAGATCCATCTAACAGACCCATTCCATCGCTAGTTACAATGTCAGTTATTCAGCGCACCGCAAATACAGCAGTGTCTTGGTGCACGCCATTTTTTATGCCCTTTTACGACATTCTCATCCATCGCGGGACTGTCCCTCTCGTCTGGCGTTGCTCTACCCGGAACCATCTTCGCCCTCTCTTCTCCAACAACTTCTCAAAGAGACATGTTGATATTGGCGTTGGAACCGGCTACTTTCCGAGACGAGCAATCAAGGATACTGGTCGCAACCCAAAAGACCAGCATCTAACGTTGGTCGACTTGAGCGAATATGCTCTTGCGACAGCAAGACGACGTGTTCTATCAAAGTATCCCGAAGCACAGGTTAACTGTTTTCACGCTGACGCAGTCCTTCCACTGCCAGAGTCTCTACAGGGCCAAAAGTTCACGTCCGCCTCACTTTTTCTCGTCATACATCACATGTCGCAGCCAACAGCCAGCAAAGCAAACGCCATCTCCAATGTCCAAAGTCTTCTAACCAAAGATGGTGTTCTGGTTGGTTGCACGGTGCTGGGAAAGCAGTGGGAGAAGACTGGTCAGGGATACAAGGTGAAGAGTGAGGAACCGCTGGGAAGAGCGGCGGCTTTGTTGCTGGGGTACTGTAACAGAAGACGTGCCTTTGACAATTGGCAGGATGATCCGAATGTCCTGGTAGAGGCTTTGGAGGCTGGGTTCGAGGAGGTGGAGACGAGTGTTGTGGCTATGATGTTTGTGTTCAAGGCCTCCAAGCCGCGTACCAAAGGTCGAGGTGCTGATCGAGGCTAGCGCGCGATGGGTCTATTGGTTTGGGCGGTTTTCTTGATAACCAACACACATGATTAGGCTGTATTACCTACTCTGCATAATCACATGCCCCGAAAGAATGAAGCGTACGCTCTCCACCTGCTCCAGAAACATGTCTCGTATTCGAATGGGAGGAGAATATCTCGGGCGATGTAGCTGCTGTGTTTTGATGTATTCATGCATAGGCACGAGAACACAATGTACCAACACGATTACCGTTCAGTAAGCCGGGCGATCTTACCAATGAACGTGCACGATAATGAGGGAGTTTCACAGGAAGGCCGAGTTCAATGTGGTGGAATAGGCTTCCAGCCACAAGTCGAAACACCTCCGCATCTCGCATCCAATCAAAGAAGGACACGATACTCCTTGGTTGCTGAAAGAAAAGTCTCATATGCTCTAGGCTTAAGCCTGACTTTATGCTGTTCAACATGACTATGGCGAAGTGGTCAGATCGCCATTTATTAGTCTACACGTAACTGTAGATCCTAGTGGCTGCTCACTAGCATAACCTGTGCTACATGAATCTCATCAACACTGGCCATATAATGTTTCACCACGGGACAGCATCGAGCGGGGTAAAAACTTGCCGAATCAGATTATATGCAGTGAAAACTTTGCCGCCTGGTGTTCCAGATCTAGATCAGTTGACTGATGATAGTGCGTGCCAAAATCTGCAAGAAGCTTCCGATAGACGAGACTATACTTTACAGTTCAGTGTGTGGCGAAGAATTTAGATGGAGATGCGCGGCATTTGGAAAAATCGCCGTCGAATGGACTTGATATTTATGCCAAGGCCCGGACGAGGGCTTTAGGGCAGTTCCAGACTGGAATCAGTGAACCCGTGCACATTTCTTTGCTATTCTCATCAGTAACTTCAGAAGAACTTCCAACAATAAACATGGACAATCCATCTCTTAGTCTGGTGGCCGCCGTGGATGTTATCGGCGGGAGCGAATCGCAGCGTGGCAGCGCCATCAACGGACACCTTGTCCAAGATTGTCATCAAAAAGCAGTCACTGATGCCCCAGAAGAGCCTCAGATTGCCATTTGCGGTATAGCACTGCGTCTCCCCGGTGGCATCACCAACTGCGACGGTTACTGGGACCTCTTGTATCATGGCCTCGACGCCAAACGTCCTATTCCTAGCAGCCGCTTCAACATCGACGGGTTCAACGATAGCCTTGGAGGGAAGGACTCAATCAAGATTAAGGATGGGTATTTCATTGAAGGTGATATTTCGTGCCTTGACACTTCTTTCTTCTCCATGTCGAAGAATGAGCTTGTTGGGGTTGATCCGCAGCAACGACTGCTCCTTGAAGTAACCCAAGAATGTCTTGATGATGCAGGAGAGATTAACTTCCGTGGAAAGCAAATTGGTTGCTATGTCGGTACCTTCGGAGACGATTGGTTGATCATGAACGCCAAGGAGTCTCTCCAGGGAGGAGTATATGCTACTACTGGAGGCACAGATGTCATGATGGCCAATCGCACTTCCTACGAATTCGACTTTCAAGGACCGAGGTATACCATCAACTCTCTTATCTGAAGCATAAAGCTAACTTTACAACAGCATGGTCATAAAGACAGGCTGCTCAAGCTCAGCAGTAGCGCTCCACGAAGCTTGTCGCGCCATCCAGAGAGGCGATGCCTCAAGTGCCATTGTCGGAGGAGCCAATATGATCATGACACCAGCAATGATGACAACAATGTCAGTAGGTGAGATCCTGGCCCCAGATGGATCATGCAAGGCCTTTGACGCTGCTGCCGATGGGTACGCGCGCGCCGAAGCCATAACGGCCATCTACATCAAGCCCTTGTCCGATGCTCTCCGCGATGGCAATCCTATAAGAGCCCTCGTTAGAGCTACGGCTGTGAACTGTGATGGCAAGTCTATGAGCCTTGTCACTCCAAATGGAACCGCGCACGAAGCCTTGATGAGACAGGCTTATCGTGATGTTGGGCTCGATCCGAAGGAGACTGCATTTGTCGAGGTAAGCCAGCACAGATAACTTGACTGCCCCGCCCCCCGTTGGGTTTGCGGCTGATGGACTAATGACAACAGTGCCATGGTACCGGGACATCTACGGGTGACCCTATCGAGACTACAGCGGTAGGGAAGGTCTTTGGCGGGGAGAAGGGTGTTTATATCACCTCCGGGAAACCCAACCTTGGGCACTCGGAGGGTTCTGCCGGGCTATCGGCTGTCATGAAAGGTGTTCTCGCTCTAGAGCACCAGACAATTCCACCCAACATCAACCTCAAGAACCCCAATCCGAAAAGTGAGTCTACTATGCATCAATGGCTCATATTTTACCTAACTCATGACCAAGTCCCATTCGCCAAGTATAACCTAAACGTTCCGCTCGAGCCAACGCCTTTCCCATCAGATCGACAAAAGAGAGTCAGCATCAACTCTTTCGGAATTGGCGGGAGCAATGCCCATGTAAGTCTTGATCCTGTAGTGCTATCTTCATATACTTAGTCGTGCTAGGTTATTCTCGAATCATATTCTCCGAAAACAAATGAAGCTTCAACCTCGGTCAACCAACAAGTATCTGGATCGCTGTCCTTGCTTCTCGTGTCAGCCAATACGGAGACCTCACTGCAGCAGCAAATCATTAACCATCAAGGTTGGATAGCTAGAAACCCGGAGTACGTCACTGATGCTAGTTATACTCTCGCAAGACACCGTAGGCATCTGCCCCACAGAGCTTTCATTGTTTGTCAGGGTGGAAAGCCCATCGAGGTCTCTAGCCCGTCCAAGATATCTTCTAGTTCCGTTTCTCTTGTCTATGTCTTCAGCGGCCAAGGCGCTCAGTGGCCTGGGATGGCCAGACAGCTTATCGACAGCGATGCTGCTTTTCGCAGTGAATTGCATGCTATGGATTCAGTCCTACAGATGCTTGAATTCCCACCGAGCTGGAACATCATAGGTAACAGCCCCAAACTAAAATCTACACATTCATGCTGACGGAATAAAAGATGAGCTCCTGAAAACTGCCGAAACTTCACAAGTAAACCGGGCAGAGCTGTCACAGCCACTCTGCACGGCAATCCAGCTGGCGCTAGTTAACAGGCTTTCCCGCTTGGGACTCTCACCTGCTGCTATCGTTGGCCATTCCAGTGGGGAAATAGCCGCTGCCTACGCAGCTGGTTATATATCCATGGAAGAAGCCATCATAATCGCCTACTATCGTGGCTATGTGACAACAAAGCAGACCCTCCATGGGGCCATGGCGGCTGTTGGGATGGGAGTACAAGGTATTTCCGAGTTCTTGACTGATGGTGTTGTCGTGGCTTGCGAGAATAGTCCGGAAAGCACTACCATTTCTGGAGACGCAGACCGAGTTGCTCAAGTAGTTGAAGCCATTAAAGTGGCTGATCCTGACATGTTTGCTCGTCTGCTCAAGGTTGACATGGCCTACCACTCACGTAAGTTTTCCCGTGATGTGGACGATGATTGCTGCTAAAAGTTGGTTAGAACATATGTTGTCTTTGAGTACTGAGTACCAGGGTCTTCTGGAGTCTGAGCTTCCGAAACACGTGGGGACTATCTCATCTACCAAGATTGATATGTTCTCCTTTGTCACCACCGAGTTGGTAGATACGTCTCTTCATAATCCATCCTATTGGGTCCAGAACCTCGTATCGCCGGTCCGATTCTCCACGGCAGTATCAAACTTGCTCGAAGCCAAGCAATCCTCTGTCTTCCTCGAAGTCGGACCTCACTCTGCCTTGGCCGGTCCTCTAAAGCAGATTTGTGCAATCTCATCCAGGCCATTTCAATACATCTCTTCCCAATCCCGTACTAAAGACTCCGAAGCTGTCTTTCTCAATGCTGTTGGGAAACTCTACCAGCACGGCATTCCTCTCGACCTAGCTCCGCTATTCCCCAACTCAAAGGCCATTTCAGGCTTGCCAACCTACCCATGGGACCACAGCGAAAATTACTGGTCCGAGAGTCGCATATCCAAGGCCTGGAGGTCCCGCCAGTATCCCCAGCACTGCCTTCTAGGCTCCCGCATCTTTGAGGTATCAGAGCTAGAGCCTCAATGGCGAAACGTTCTGAGTCTTGAGGATGTTCCCTGGCTTATGGATCATAAGCTTAACCAGGATGTCGTTTTTCCGTTCTCAGGGTACGTCGCGATGGCTGGTGAAGCCATCAGACAGGTTACTCACTGTCTTCTTGGCGCGGCCTATCGCTTGCGACATGTCGTTGCTCATCGAGCGCTTTTGCTTTCAGACGCTGTTGAAGTCTCGACTAGCCTACGCGCTCATCATCTCAACGATAATGAAGACTCTTCATGGTATATATTCACTATATCTTCATATGATGGCTCGGGCTGGACCAAGCACTGTACAGGACGTGTCAGCATTCTTGACAAAGTCCGAGTTACGGACTGGACCCCAGAGGTCCTCTCGCGACAGGTTGATTGTACGCGTATATATAACCAGCTTGCCTACACGGGCTTCGTCTATGGCCCTGAGTTTCGTGGTCTGTTGGACGCTACCACGTCTCCCTTGGAGGATCTAGCCCACGGTCGCATAGCGAACAAGACTGCTCATGCCAGTTCTCCATTCACTTTGCATCCTGTAACGATAGATACTGGTCTTCACTTGCTCCTTGTATCTCAAGCTAGAGGCCTGGCTAGAAACGTCGTCGAACTAGCTGTACCGACCGTCATTGAAGAAATTGAGGTCAGCGCAGGTACGGATGTGATGAAAGGTAGAGCATGGAGGCTACACGGAACAGAACCGAGTGTTGAGCTCAGCGCTGATGGGAAAGTCTCGTTTTATGCGTCAGGTATACAGTTGAGAGCTCTAGGAGACGACGTCACCTTGGATGAACTCGACGTTCACGCAGCTTCAAGACTGAACTGGCTTCCGCACTTTGACTTCATGGACCTATCAACCCTCTTCACTCCGCCAGTTATTAACAGAGAGGAATGCCATCTACAGGAGGAGCTAACCCTTCTTTGCATAATTGAAACCTTCGAGAAGGTCAAATCTCTTGAGCCGTGCCAGCCTCACTTGACCAAGTTTCGACGCTGGCTCCAGAAGCAGCTTGGCCTTATTGCATCGGGGAATAGCAAACTTGTTAATGAGTCGCAGAAGCTCCTCAATGCTACTCAGGAGTCTAGGCTCTCCAGGATCGACGGAATCACTCAGTTGCTCTTCGAACTGCCGCAAAAAGCGGTCGCGCTGGGAATACGACGCCTCTGTGATAACATGGAATACATATTCACGGGTAAAGCAACAACTATCGAGATACTTCTCAAGGACAACCTCTTGGCGGACATTTACAGCCTTACGACTTTCGATTACTCTAAGTTTCTGCGCGTTCTATCACATACTCGGCCTACTCTCAAGATTCTCGAAGTCGGAGCTGGCACCGGAGGCACCACTGAGACTATTCTCCGTGGCCTGTCGCAGATACGACATCTCCCAGGTTACTCAGTCTATACTTATACTGACGTTTCCGCTGGATTCTTTCCTGCGGCCAAGGATCGTTTCTCCAATGCCCCCAACATGGAGTTCAAAGTATTGGACGTTTCCCAGGATCCCCTGGAACAAGGGTTTCAGAGCGAAACTTATGATCTTATCGTGGCAGCCAACGTTTTGCACGCTACGCCATCGCTTCATGTGACATTGAGTAATATCCGGACATTGCTCAAATCTGATGGCATGCTTGCCATGACAGAATTATGCACAGAGTCTCGTGTAACCACCTACACTGTCGGCACGTTTTCTGGATGGTGGCTGGGAGAACAGGACGATCGACCAGATCAACCTTACGTCTCTGTAGCCCGATGGGATCAAGAGCTAAAGAGTGCTGGGTATAGCGGCGTTGATGTGGCTGTATATGATGATGAAGAGCCGTATCGAAGTTGTGCTGTGATAGTGGCTACTAAAGAACCTGTTTTGGCCATGAACCCTACGTCTGTTACTTTGTTGACTGACTCCCCTGAGAGTTACCCAGCTACCCAGATCTCAGCCGCCCTGGAAGCAAGGGGGTATAAGATTACGCTGCACAAAATCGACAATGAGCTTCCTCAAGATCATGATATCGTCTCTTGCCTAGACCTGGAAGCGGCTTTCTTTGAAGATATATCTCAAGAGAGGTTCATCAAATTCCAGAAGTTCACAGAGTCCCTCAGCTCAAACAGAATTCTATGGCTCATGCCTCCGACTCAGTTTGGATGCCAGAATCCGAGATCGGCTCAAACACTGGGCGTTGCTCGCACGCTTCGATCCGAATTAGGGCTGAGCTTTTATACGCTTGAGATTGATCTTGATACCAACCGTCTCGACACTCTGGTTGCCGATGTTTTTGAGAAGGTTTTACAGGATCGAGATAGCGAGAATCTTGAGTCGGACAAGGAATACATCGTACATGGCGATGCGATCTGTGTTGGGAGGTATCAACCTATCAATATTGCTGAGACATCATTGGACAAGGCCCATCGTGGCGAATATATGGAGGCCTTGCGAGTTGACAAGCCTGGATCTCTCGATACAATGAACTGGGTCGCCTCTGCACTACCAGAGACGCTGAAGGCTGACATGGTCGAGGTCAAAGTTCACTCCGCTGGTCTCAACTTCCATGATGTGGTAGAGGCCCTGGGCCTAATCCCCTCTCAAGCTCCACATGTCTTACCAGGCTTAGAAGTATCTGGCACCATCAGACGCCTTGGTAGTGCAGTGACAGGTCTTTCCGTCGGAGATCGCGTCATGAGTCTGTGTTACAACGGTGGCCTATCTACGCACTTCACAGCCAGGCATCACTACATACACAGGATTCCCGATAGCATGAGCTTTGAAGAAGCTGCTTCCATGCAGTGTTGCTTTTCCACAGTCATATACGCCTTGCTTGATGTGGGAAAGATGCGCAAAGGAACCAGCGTGTTGATCCATTCTGCTTGTGGTGGCGTCGGGCTTGTAGCTATTCAGGTCGTACAGATGATGGAGGGTGAGATATATGCCACGGTTGGAAACAAGGAGAAGAGAGAACATCTTGTCAAGGAATACGGTATCTCGCGAGAACGAGTCTTCAATTCCCGTGATGCCTCGTTCCTGGATGGTGTGATGCGGCAAACGGCCGGGAGAGGCGTCGACCTAGTTCTGAACTCACTTAGTGGCGAACTTCTCAACGCTTCTTGGAAGTGCGTTACTAAGTCCGGTACTCTCCTTGAGCTTGGAAAACGCGATATGGCTTCATGCGGTCAACTTGATATGAGCAGATTTTTAGACAACAGGTCTTACTGCGGTATTGATATGCACTACTTGGTAGGATGGCGGCCTGATCTTGTCAGGGAGTAAGCCAATTCCTCTGTAAGACTCACAACTGCAAGGCTAACAGATTGCTAGTATCATGGAAAGAACCCTTGACTTCTTCAGACAAGGAAAGCTCAAACCTCTGAGACCTGTCACCTCTTTTGCTGCGAGTGATGCTAGAAAGGCGTTTCGCTTCCTTCAAGATGGTCAACACATGGGGAAGGTTGTACTTGAAATGCCAGCAGATCCATCGAACCTAGATGCCAAGGTAACTGCTCATAGCATTTGCTTCGACCCCCAGGCTTCTTACCTTCTTGTTGGCGGTTTGGGGGGTCTTGGTAAAGCCTTGGCAGTTTGGCTTGTGGAACGTGGGGCCAAACACCTGATATTTCTCTCCAGGAGTGGTATCGCAGAGAGCAAGTTCTCTACAGAACTTGAAGCCATGGGGTGCATTATCGCCACTGTTAAGGGAAGTGTCAACAATCTGGGAGATGTCGAAGATGCCATTAAAAAGGCTTCCTACCCCATCAAAGGTGTCTTTCATCTTGCCATGGTACAAAGGGTAAGTTGCAATACTAAGCTCTGTCTGCTGATTTAAGCTCTCAGCCGCGAGCCTCAACTGCAGATAACACATCTAGCTAACCATCATAGGATTCTCCTTTCCTGGATATGAGGTGGACAGATTGGAAGGATGCAAGCGAGCCCAAAGTCAATGGCACCTGGAATCTTCACCGAGCGCTTCATGGCCAGCCACTTGATCATTTCTGGCTAGCGAGCTCCATAGTCACGGTTGCTGATCAGCCAGGCCAGGGCAACTACAAAGCCGGATGCACATTCATCGAATCATTCTGCCAATACAGACACTCTCTCGGTCTTCCAGCATCTGTGCTCTCAATATGTGGTGTCGAAGACATCGGATACTTGGCAGAAAACCCATCAGCACTTCGCAGCACTAAACTCCAGGGCCTCCATATTGTGAGAGAAAAGGAGTTCCTTGAAAGTGTAGAGGCTTCACTGTTTACCTCAGCACCAAGAGATCGGAGCTCTGCCAGCCATAGTTTCGAGAATTTCCCGTCAAGCGAGATGTCACCATGGAATCACAATGGTCATATTATTATGGGCTTGAGATCTCACCTTCACCTCGATGATCCTAAGAATCCCACCAATTGGCGTCGTGATCGTCGAATGGGCGCATATCACAACCTTCCAACAGGAGACAAAGCCGACACGCGAGGCGAAAGGAGTCAACTCAAAGATTTTCTAGAGAGCGTCAGTGGAGGTGCCGTTGAGATACTGGTAAAGGAAGAGTCGATCGACTTTTTATCTATCGAGATTGGTAGAAAGGTTAACGATTTTCTTCTCAGGCCAGATGGACCTGTTGATCCCAACCTCAGACTATCTGAGATGGGCCTCGATTCACTCACTGCGATTGAGTTACGGCGGTGGTTCAGTCAAGTATTTGGTTTACAAGTCAGTGTGTTGGAGATGATTGGGGCGGCGTCGCTGAGGGAGGTTGGGAGGATTGTGGCAACCAGATTGGGGGAGAAACTTGATCGGTAGGGTATGTGACGAAGGGTTTATTTAACCTCTATACGAAGTGACAAAGAGTCTTAGGTAAACTTAGTGTAGGTAATTTGATAGACTTAGGGGATCTTAGACTAATCATTTCTAGTACCTCACTCAATTGAGCGTCAGAAGTCTTCTTGCATCATATCCTGAGAGAGCCACATCCCGTGCTGCGTAATGTGTATCCACTGCGCTGATCATAATTACCATCCGATAGATTAGATTGCCGCATCATGTTTTTCGCACCAATGCGGTTGAGGCTGAAGGAATGATATATCCGGGTTAATTCCAAGCCTGGCCTCACATTGCCGCCCATCTATGGAGCATACGCGTATTAATTTCGGTGTCGACAGGAATTGCATCACTCACCCCGAGCCGTGCCAGTTTTCTTGGGGACCTGTCGTGAAGAATAGTAGTCTCCAGTGACGAGCTGCTCAGCCTGTGTATAATTGGTACACGACTCATTCAAGTCATTGATATTAAGCATCGAGAGTCATGAGCTGTTTGCTTCTTCTTATGTGAAACAAATAGCCTTACTTGGCCTAAGTTTCATCGCCTGTTGCCTCAAGGATAAGCATATTATTAAGTCCCGTGGTGCGTAAACAAGTGACCGTGCTGATGACTCGCTACTGGCCCACTGTTCAGACCAGGATGCGGCTCTGCTATCATCAGCCTCAATCATCACTTTGTAGCGTAATTGACGGATGGTAAAGTCTGATGAGTCCTATGGAATAACGTCCAAAGCAATACTCATAGTAAGCTGCAAGCCAAGATTGACGTTTATTCTTACAATGAGGTCCCCATCACTTTTAGCAAAACTTGGCACCAAGCTAAAGAAGCTTGATCCCTTCGTTTCAACTCGCATCATTGAAACACGCTCCCCACAAAAGACTAACCCTTTAATCCCAAGCTCAACCATGCCATCAAGTTTCACATCCCAAAAATACTGCCGATGTTCCACGGAATAAAACAGCGACGCCAAAAGTCCGCCAATAACGACGCCTAGCTACTCTTGGCGTGGTCGGGATGCTAACAACTAGGTCGCGATACTGCCTGTCTCAAGTTTCAAGTTAACAAAACAGGACCATTTTTTTCTGGAAGATTTCTAGGACAACGTGAAATTCTCCGCCGCTTACGGTAAAGCCTGCGAGAGAAGAAGTTGGCTGAGATAAATATACCAATGCCTTCCCACTAACTCACCTCTATTCCCATTTTCTGCTCTTCATTCGTTCGTTTCTTATTTTATCTTCACCACATTCTTTTTTTTTCTTCTTCACCATGAAGTCTCTCTTTCTTCTCTCCGTGGCCGTCGCCGCGCTGGTCTCCAACGTTTCCGCCGCCGGCGTTACCGGCACCCCCGAGGGCTTCGCCTCCGAAGCCACAGGCGGTGGCAGCGCCGAGGGCGCGTACCCCAAGTCAACCGATGAGCTGGTCTCTATGCTTGGCGACTCTACCACACGCGTCATCCTGCTCGACCAGGAGTTCGACTTTACCGGTACCGAGGGCACTGCGTCCGAGCAGGGCTGTGCGCCTTGGGGTACGGGCTCGGGCTGCCAGACGGCTATCAACAAGGATGATTGGTGTAACAACTATCAGCCTGATGCCCCCAAGGTCGATGTTAGCTACGATAAGGCGGGCTTGAACCCAATCATCGTCAACTCGGATAAGTCGATTGTTGGTGTTGGTGCGAATGGTGTTATTAAGGGCAAGGGTCTTTATATCAAGGGGACTAAGAATATTATTATTCAGAACATCCATATTACTGAACTGAACCCTCAGTATGTTTGGGGTGGAGACGCTATTACCCTTGATGGAGCTGATCTTGTCTGGATCGATCACGTCACAACCTCCAACATTGGCCGACAGCACATCGTCCTTGGCACCAACGCTGATAACCGAGTCTCTATCACCAACAACCACATCAACGGCGAGAGCCAGTGGTCTGCCACTTGTGATGGACATCAGTACTGGTCCATGTACTTCACTGGTTCCAGCGACGTGAGTACCCGAACCTCATCCCCAATCTATAATCTAACTGTACTAACAATTGCTAGATGATCACCATGAAGAACAACTACATCACCAAGACCTCCGGCCGCGCCCCCAAGGTCGCCGGCAACACCGTCCTCCACGCCGTCAACAACTACTGGTCCGACAACTCCGGCCACGCTTTCGAGACCAGCGACCAAGCCAAGATTCTCGCCGAGGGCAACCTCTTCCAGGACGTCAAGGCTGCCATCGAGGAGGGATCCACCGGTGCCATCTTCGCCAGCCCCGATGCTTCCGCCAACGCTGCTTGCTCCAGCGGTGTTGGCCACGTCTGCGAGGTTAATCAGTACGACAACTCTGGTTCCCTGTCTGGTACAGATTCTAGCTTCTTCAGCACTTTTGGCGGAAAGGGTGCGGAGGCTAAGCCTGTCTCCTCCGTCACTGGTCTTGCTGCTAGTGCTGGTTTCGGAACCATCTAGGTGCTAGTGTCTTTGACGAGGTATTGATGACCTCTGGAATCACTGGGGAATAGTGGAGATGTTGCTTTCGATGTATATAATCTCGAGCTTTCGGGCTTATCTAGCCGGAGATATGTAGAAACACGGGTTAATATAGAGACCTCAGTTTCAAAATGTCTGAACTCAATAGTGATCCCTAAGACCATGGCATGAATGCTACTTTGTCTCGTAGCGAAGCCTCTAGAAACAGAATCTTGAGCGGTTTGGGAAAACCAGGCTTCAGACTGAGTCCAACGTCAAGGCTGGTAAATAGTAACAAGTTTTACAGTCAATTTCGAGCTCATTCTGGGTATCACTATCCAAACAATGACCGCAAATTATTCTCCTCCATGACATCAATCCAATGCACACTCGCAGCACCCGACTTCTCCTTATCATACTCATTCCAAATCGTCTGTACCAGCGTCTTCGCTACAACAATCGGCCTCGGTGGCAGCAGCGCCTCCAACGCATCGAGCCTCCTGACGATAAAACATCTTGCCTCAACAATCTTCATTCGCGACTCCGTAGCAGTAGTTGTAGATAACCGCTCGATATCTTCGTCTGCCTGGATGAGTTGTCCTATGTAATCTGATAACCCGCAATGCTCTGTGCTACCGAGGTCGAAAGGCGTTGGTGTCGCGAGAGGGGCTTGGGTTTCGGGGCTGGAGGCTGTATCAGAGGGCTCAAAGCGTAGACCGGTGCTGGCGGTGATGCAGAGCAGGGGTTGGGTCATTTTACTACCCGAGTCGGCAGGGAGTTGCTCGATGAGTTTAGTTAGACGGAGACTTAGTGGTGTGATGCATTCCTCCCATGGGATATGTGCATCTGCTGGACCGGAGAGGTTATCAGGTAATCTCAGAAGAACTAGCTCCGGGAATGTTTGGTAGATGTGTATAAGACCAGCGAGGCGATACGCCTCAGCGACGTTGACTAGATGACGACACGGTGTTTTCTGATCTCCCGTCTCGGTATTCGCAGGCGCCGACTCAAAGTCCAGACCTAAAAGCTTTTCTTCTAATGTTTTGGCCTCTTCGATCATGTTTAGTGCAGTGGCGTGATCGCGCGTCGCAAAAGGTCCAGGATGTTTAACGTGATATCTGTAATTACGGCAGAGTCTCAGTGTCTGCGTCAGAAGTCGCGATACTGTGTTTGAAACACCCGTCCAAGGATGCGGCATGTCATCGACGACAGGTTCGGTTGGTAGAGCCGTTGGATATTCGTCTGCACTGATATCCTCTACTTCTTCGGCCTCGTATGTTATATATGGGTTTGTGTCTGATACGACAGAGAGTAGCAATTCGCAGTACGTCCAGCTTTTGTTGAAAATGTTTAGTAGTTTCCGCTCTTCCTCTGACAGACGTCGTTTCTGCTTGTTTATCCGGTGCAAAAGAGCTTTTGCCTCTCTGAGAAATGGTATACCTAACTGTGTTGCGTTCAACCAGCAAATGCTCGTGCCTATACAAAACAACCCATATATCAGACCCATAGGCACAGTATCCAGGTTTGGCGATGATTTTACGACACGTAATTCCGCCTCGATAACATCCGTAGCATTCTTCATCATAGCGATAGAAGTCTTCTTCATATGCGGCATCTTGGATGAGAGATACGCCGATGACATGCTCTGCAAACTAGTCGATACAGCTTCCGAAGTCGACCAAAGAGTTGTTGCTAGCATACGATTCGAGTTTGTCGGCGAGTCATATTGCGACCATAAAGAGCAGATATCGCGAAACCAGTATTCAACGAGTTGAGTTGAGAGGTCTGTTATTGGTGGAGGAACGAATAATGTTGAGAAGTTTTGCTGAACTGGGAAAAGAGCAAGGTCGGTGCTCGTATCGGAAAAATTGTCAAATGTCGGTGTCGCTAGATCCAGCGTGTCTGGCGTCCATTCAAACTCTGACATCGGGAGGCCTTCAACTGGAAGATCGAGGGGGAATTGAGATATGAAATCATTCGTTGGGCTCATTTCAGATTCCGCAGGCTGTGCATCTTGTTGAGCCTCCAAAGGCTGTGTGTTGAGCATAAATTCACCAAAAACTCCCTGGTTCGCATCGTTAGAGCTGTAGACCGAACCAGCAGTAGTGAACGATGCGGTAGACGCAGTATCTAGTTGTCGTTTTGGCGGTCTACCGCGACGCTTCTTGGTGCCGCAGGATTGCTTTGGTGATGTCCGGAACGTATGCTCAGCGAGTTCAGCTGGTTTTTCATGTTTGGTAGACCATCTCAAACCGCGCTGATATCCTCCACACTGAACACCTCGCGATATACAAACTTGGCATTCTGGTTTCGCTTCATCACATTTCAGCTATTCCCTATCAGTCGCGCTCATCCGCCTTCCGGAAGTCGACTTACGTGTTTGGTCCGGCAGGTCAAGCATCCGGATCTCGATCTGACGGGGAGCTTCCGTTTGGCTGTGGACCTGGCACCTGACTCCGGCTCCTCCATGGTGAGTTTGTATAGGGTTTGAGCAAGTTTACGGGGCAGGCTGAGAGAGTAAAAACGTGCTCAGGCAATTGATGATAGAGAATTGAAGTGGAAGTGAACTGGGCTTCCCCGCAGAAGTTCGAGGGCGCAGTGATAAGATTGGTTTAGCGGGAGCCGCGGAATTGGTAAGCTCGATTGTGATTTGTTGGAGACGGGTTTGCAACTCCGCAAGGCCGAAAGTTACGTCGTATTGAAGACGGTTGAGTTGGTAGGGCCCGGTAGTTGATCCCTGACATTGGAGGTATGATATCTTGAGATGTCGCAGTTAGATTGAGTCACCAACGAAATGGCTCTGTTCCGGTACAATTCCGAAAAGGGCAAAGCTACGGATAACAATGTGTTACTGCACCTGTTAGTCAGTGGCGATAAGCAGATTCGTTAGGCGAAGCGGAGGGATCCGGAAAGAGAGCTGGAATTTGGTGAGCCAATAAAAGACAGTGCGCTTCCGCTAACCCAACTCAACAGCTTTCGGCCCAAGATGCATACGTTGCCGATTAGAGGAAATTGCTGGTTGGGACCAATCTCATCATAAAAGTTCATTCAAGTCATTAAATAAGAGCTATATAAGTCTCATTATAGTACAATATATCACTCCGTTGAACCCTCGACCTTCTTCTCTTCCATCGCTAACTCATCCGTGGCTTCGGCAAGGTCCGGTCTTTCTCCAAGAATCACATCGAGATCCTGTTACAATCATCAGCAATGTCCCCAGACAGCACGAAATAGAACATACCGGGCCCTGGAATGTCTTCTTTCCGTAAAACACCCAGTACCCTGTTAGGAAGATGGCAAAGATGCCAATGACAGCCGAGACGTAATCTGACTCTGTTGTCAGCGTATGATCAAGAGTAGAGAGGGAGGAAGGCATACTCATCAAGCTGGCGTCGACCGGCAGAACAGGTGGGAAGCAGAAGAACTGGAGAATGGTCAGCTTGGCAGTTTTGGTGGAGACTGAAGAGTATGACTTACGATCGATGTGATGAAGACGTAAAGAACAGCAACGTAGTTGATGATCAAACCTCGAACCTTTCCAAACCTCCAGGGTGTATCAGCACTCTGGAACCTCGTCAAAGTATCTCTCCCACGAATAATAAGCGTCGCAACCGGAATAGCATACGACATGTTCAACAAGATCGTACAGCTCGAAATAAACGCATTGAAAGCAACAGTCGGTCCTAGGTACAACAACCCGAAGATCGCGTTGAACACCCAGGTAAGAACAATAGCTCGGATGGGTACTTCCCATCGGGGATGGATGTGGCTGAAGTACTCATGATACAGAGTACCTTTATCACGAGCCATAGCGTATAGGAGTCGGGAGGCGCTGGTAATCGAGCCGTTGGTTCCGTGGATGAAGCAGATTGCTAGCATGAGGGTCAGGAAGGTGGTGCCCGCGCGGCTGCCGGTTGCTTGGAGGATGAGCTCGACAATGGGCATGCCTGTTGACGTTGCGACGATTCCGGAGAGGTCGGTGAGGCAGAACAGCATGACGAGGATGAAGATTGTTCCGCTGCTTTCGTTAGCATATACCCTGCTTAGCAAGAGGTTGACCTACGTTGTTCCCCCGACACCAACAGCGTATACCATCGCCAAAGGAGCATCCCGAGACGGCGTCGGCATCTCCTCCGTCATGTGCAGCACAGCATCGTATCCAATTAGTGACAGCGCCGACTGCAAAAGACCCAAGATCCACGCAATTCCGTCGTTCCAGCCTGTTTCGTTCGCAAATGTCGCAAAGACGAACTCGGGGTCGGTTTTATCGGATGTCGAGAGAAGGACGACGCTGGCGACGAAAACACTGAGAATGGACCAGTACACTACAACGTCAGTCAAAGCTCGCAGTGAAGGGGATTTAGAAGGCTTACGGGCGAGGTTGTTCCAAGCGCCCAGGATTCGGTTCCCGAAGGTCATGGAGAGACTGCCGAATGTGAGGACGGCCATGAAGATTAGGTACGTCTTCCATGCTGCCACCACGTAGTTTCCATTGGAGGCTACAACGCATGCTGCGGAGATGAATTGTGCTACAAAAGTCAATTTTCGTACCTTCAATCGCGCAGAATTACAAACCTGCGAAGAAACCCTCGGTCGTCACAAGAGTCAGCCATCCAAAAATATTGATGTACCCAACCGCAAAACTCTGCTATCGTCAATACTCTCCCAGCAATCACGCATTTGAGAACTCACCATGACCTTCCTCCACTTCTCAGAAGTCAATGCCCACTGGAAATGATACTGTCCACCAGCAGTCGGCCAAATCGCCGCCAACTCACCCAAACTAGCGGCCAGCGCGAAATTACACAAGACACAGAAGATGAAACCATACAAGAACGCAACAGATCCACCGGAAGGGAGAACGATAGATAGACTTCCTGCTAGACAGATCCACGTGCTAGACTTCACATCAGAATATGGTTTGGACAGAGAGATCGGGAAACACACTTGAGAATGGCAAATGTCATGGCTACCATTGTAATCTTTGATAGGCGAGGCCGAAGATGGCCTTCGCCTTGGGCATTATGTGTAACTTCTGTCATTGTGATGTTTTCTGATGAGAGCTATTCACTGGAACATGGCGATTCTGGAGAATGAAGAGCGAGGTGCTCAGCTTGTATATGCCACGAGGCCCAGCTAGCTAGTCGGCAAACCCAAAAGTTGCGGGGAAACGCCCCCTTCAAAGAATAAAGTCAACGGTTAAACACACAAGAGGCAGTGCTAGGTACGCCGATCCAACAACTTGATAGGTAGATTTCCGAGAGAGCTACACGCGCATCATCGATGTGGCCTAGAGATACAAACCAGTGTCAACTCAAAACGTAATACCCCAGATTCTCTTGCGCCCGCAAGCAAGTGTTCCAGACCGTCACGATCTCGAATCTTAGTACAGACCATGAGGCGTTACGCGAAACTCCACAAATTCGGTGGTGAAGAAGGAATATCAGACTAAAATTACCGTTTTGAGGTTAGTTTTTCGGTCGAGCCCCCGCAGCACAGAGTTACAGCCCTGATACTGTGATTTGTGCGATTTGTCACAAGGGAGTGCTTGGGGGCTTGCTTTAATAGAGCGATGCTGGTTGGTGGTTGGGTATGGAGTATCTGAAATGGGTAATTTCTGCCATGATCTACGTTCAGGTGATTACGGACCTGGCAATAATTGTCTAGATAAGGCGAATTTAATAGTAATGGATCGGTATCTGGCTTGGTATCTGGTTTAAATGCTTGGCTGGATCATAAGTGCGATCATAGATGATAAAATCCGGGGTAATGTGGATCTCGGTGTTTGTTATGATACCGATAGACAACACTTGCATTGCAATCTCTAGCCCAGAGTTCGTTTCCCCAATGATAACTTGTTCCATCCTCTTGCTGCATTCAATGCTGCATGTTACATTCCTTTATCTCTTCTTTATATTCCTGGACGACTATTCCTCGTTCATTAGATTTAGATAACCATCAACTCCCATGCCTCTGATATCTTTAACCTTTGTGTCAACATGCCTCAACGCTTAGTGGGATTGTTACGTGTGTCACATGTTTCAAGAATGGGGGCCTGTCTCCGCCAGGGACTCTACCTCGCCCACTCTTGAAATCTCACCCGGGGGTTCTACCCGTATACCTTGCGCTAGTAGAATGGTGCCTAACAAGCGAGACATGCTGTTTAGCTATTTTCTTAGCTCTGTATAATTCTTACTGCAATTATTATCACTATGCTTTTGCGTATCAATAGCCTCATGTTTCATATTCTAGACTATACGGATCCTGTAATTCCCTTCGTGCTCAACATATTCTTCACAGGGTATGTCTTGCCTGCTCTGTGGCCCCCTGCCTGTCAGTGTTTGATATGGCCGTCTTCAGAGCAATACTCGTCGACAAGCCCACATCGCTCAAAAGTTCCATGTTGTCCTGCCACAGGTCTAAGAACTAAATATGTAGCGAAAAGATAGTCCTCTTCTAAAGATGAAGAGAGTTTCTTATTCGGTTGGATGGTGTATGTACCAAGGTGCAGTACGCAGTACAGCCCAAACTGCAGGTCGCTAACATCAAATCCGCGGATCGTAACATGACCCTTATAAGACTCTTTTACATCGTCCTCTCTGCGCAGAACCGGGCCCGTCTTATGGTCGATGATCTGTACGCGGCCCATGGCACCTTTAATTAGGATGTGACCACCAGTGACTTGTCCTGTGAGATCACTGCCGCCAGGGGTCGTCGAGATATCAATAATCTCTGTCCGAGGGGTAAATATTCCAGGCGGATTTATCCAGAATATGCGGCCGTCTATCGATGCCCAGGACCAACTCGGAGCTCTGTACTGCGGCCTTGGATTCTTGCTATTGTATGTGTACCACGCGAGCTGACGATGAAGATCGCGGTTGTTCCAAATACCAGCTAGGTATCCCGGATTTCCGAGGTGTGGCTGTAGCTATTTCGCGATACCGGACAGGGCGGGCAACCGATCATCCGATTTCGTCATATCGCGTGAAGTGTAGTGGCTAACGAGACCCGACCAAAGCTGAAACGGGTCTGGACCAACGCGCGCATTCATATCTCGGCTCAAAAGGCATCTTGCAATACCAAGGTCCTCTGCAAACTTTGCCTTTCCATGGGGTCTGATGCAATCAGGAAGTCCGTCAGGAAATACCTTGCAAGCGCAATGGTGATCGCATTCCCAGAAGACCTGACTTTTGGCGAAGTGGATTGTTCTTTTTGACATCATCCACTCTTGGTATACCCATACGCGCTGGGTAACTGTCAGAATCACTATACGGACGTTGTTATAGGAATAGGGGAGTACCTTACCGTCTGTAAAGGGGAACGCTCGACTTCCTTAAGGAATATATGTTCGTCGGCAAAGAGGTCAATGACGTCCCCTCGCACGCTCCTCACGACATATTGGCCATATAATTCTTGGCGTTTGAAGAACAGACCTCCACTGCTGTCTCGTGAAGCTGCTGCGGCAAGGTTGCAATCTGCCTCGGTATATACTCTGTGCATCAGAGCTGCTTCTCGGGCCCAATCTTCGTGGTCATTTTGAACGATGCAGAGGCTATCTATCCAGAGATAACGATAGCCCAAGTCCCTCGTTGCGGCGATGGCATCTTGGAATGTTTGCGGTAGATTGTAGACGCCACTGTACAGACTTTGCAGATTCTGCTTCGTGGCACAGATCAGTTGCTTCTTCCCCCAGCAGTGGCTGAGAGTTAGGTAAGGGCCTTTCGGTAGGTTGGTCGCTGTCTCAATGAGCCGCGGCGTGTTTATTGATTCTAGGTGTCCCAAATCGAGGAGTCGAGTTGGGAACCATAGCCCTGCGTCACCAGTCCTGAGACCGCGATCAAGGTGCTTTTGCTTACATTGACTAATCCAATGCCTCATCAGACCCCAAGCAGCACGCGAGTCACTCGATGGACTCTCTTGCAACGACGACGCAGGGCTCGCGACAGAGCCATGGTAGAGATCCAGCTGCGTGAGAATCACATCGGTTGCTTCTCGGGGCGGGCCTTCCAGATCTTTTGTTGACGCGTTGAATTCTAAGCAGACTCTAACACTTGGGTATTCATGAGAAATAGCGAGCTTTGTCCATATGAGGAAAGCATCGAGAGACTCTTCTATAGGCCAGGCTGTGTTCTTGAGAAGTCCAGGAGGAAGCTTCTCAAGGTGAGCAGCGACTCCAGATTTAAGCGCATCTTGCAGCAATGTACAGACATTGCAGCCTCCTTCAACCGCCTGCGTCCAGTCTCGATGAGTAAGATGATGGGTCTTGGAGCTTGTGATGGAGGGGTTGCTCTTGGCAGCCGTCCAGGCAAAGGACTCTTTACATACGCTACACAAGTTCATACTGAGATATAGAAAAGTTTCAGTGTTGCGACTGTTGATAAAGCGCTGTTGCCGATGTATATATAACTGGTTGAAATAAGCATTTAGTTATAAGCAACCTATGCCCCTTGGCGTAAGCGCAATATATGTTACAGACACGTGATGCCATTGGATTTGTGTAATTCTAATGAGAAAACAAAGGCTTTTATCTGTACTGCGCTTCTTGGGTAACTAGATATATGTATCTGCTAAGAACGAGCATAAGGCACTTTTAAAACAGACGAACGATGTAGTTATTATTAAATCTGAGTCATTTGGCTTTCTCTCTCGTCACTAACGGAGTTCTTGAGCATGATTTTGGTGTTCCGAAATCAGCAATCCACAATAAGTTCTTCAGAACTTGGCCGGTCTGGTGGTCTAGTGGTATGATTCTCGCTTAGGGAAAACCCTATAGCATTGCTTGCGAGAGGTCCCGGGTTCAATCCCCGGCCAGACCCTTTCTTTTGCGCTGTGCACGTCCTCGCGATGTTTGCTTTTTGCTTTGGCGGTGTGGAGACGTGTCTTTTCTCTCTATGGCGGGGGTTAGTAGGGCAGGCCTCCCTTGTAGGATCTGTCTTACCCTACACCGTACACGTAAGTTACTAGATGAATTTCTTTAGTTAAGCCTCTCTAGAGACCTCAGAGAAAACCTCCATTATGGCGCTTCAGTATGGAATTTTAATGTTCTTACCGTCTGGTTAGTTAAATCGCATTGTCAACGTTTTCGCTGAACGGTTCTTGTCGAAACGTTTTCCCTCTTTGTTCATTGCAACATCATAATAGCAAAAAACCGGATGCGGATACTATCAGCTCATGTGGAATGAGACAAGACAAGTTCTTTGGACACCACATGTTCAAGCAAGGTAGGATGAATGAGTCTGCTTACAGATATTGGTCGATCCTACACGAAATTGTTCGCGCGCCAAACCTCAAGCGACGTCATCCGGCGACAATCATGAAGGGTCCAAGGGACCACGATTGTGCCTGACTCTAAAAGGTCACCACCCCATTATGATTTGCCGATCTACCAGGGCCACCAGGAACTGACGTGCTGACTACCGAGACAAAAATGTCCGGATTTGTCGATGGACCCTCTCAATCTTGATGGTCAGGGCTTTGGGCATGATCGGCAAGCCACAGTATCTCTTCGCGGTAATTTCATACCAGTCCCAAACTGTAAACCTTTAAACGCATAGTAGATTTTTGTACAAGAACGCAACTCGCGTCAGCGGCTCTTGGTTGATCGTTGGTTCAGCATAAGAACTATGTCATCTCATGATATGATGGTTGACTGATCAGAAGATCGACAATATGACGATACCTTCAACTGTCGCATGAGGCAAATCCCAACTTTATTCTGAACATCTAGGGCGTAAGGAATTTTATAAATGTCTGCGAGTCGCCTTTGTGTTGGATCAGCATGCTCCTACCACGCTGAACAGAATTGTCTACCATACTACTCGAAACACCATCATGAAAGTCTTCTTCATCGCCGCTGTAACTCTCCTGGGCAGCTCTCTCGCTGCACCAGCTACAGACACAGCCCTTGTCAAGAAATCATCTCATCCCATCGACACTATTCCCTACCATGGTCTCCCCAGCGTCAAAGTCGACCTCGACGCCCTCCGCGCTGAGCAAAAGGCAGGACAAACTGCGACCACAAATGTTAAAGTCAAGCGGTCCTCCAAATCTACACCTAAGAGGAAGAAGACATCGAAGAAACCTCCAGCCAAGGCGTCGGTCAAGAAGACCAAGGCTATAAAGAAACCCAAGACAACTCATTCAAAGAGACTGCTCAAGTCTTCGTCGACTGGCTTCAAGAACGGCCAGGATCTTGTTGATTCCTTGGATAGTCTTGTTGCTCAAGTCACTGCCCGAGGTGACAGAATCAGTATGCGTCCTGCTGTTCATAAGCTCAATAGACACTAACACTATCAGATGGAACACTCCTCAGAGTTCAGGCCGGAACCGGGACTCGCAACAAAGGCACCACCGACGCCCTCAAGGAAGTCATCCAAATCCGCGCTGCTGTCTCCGGCGCCCTAACTAGACTCTCCACCACCAAGAACCTCAAACTCACCAGCGACCAACGCGCCGACGTGCTCGATCTAGTCGAGCAACTCGTCAAAGAACTCCTCGACATCGTCAACGACCTCCTCGAGACGCTCGGCCTTAAGCTCAGCCTGAAAGCATCGCTCAACCCACTCATGAATATGCTGAGCGACCTCCTAGGCGGTCTGGCAGTGACTGATGGCAAGCTTACGCCAGAGCTGCGCCAGCGTCTGGGAGATTTGATTAGAGCTCAGATCAACGGTGATGGGACGAAGGGATTTGATGCACTTGGAAGTGGCATTGAGAATCCGCTTTTGCGTCTTCATGGGTCTCTGAAGACTAGTGTTGGATCGAATTAGTATTGCAGGGATATTGTCATTCGTTAATTGCTGGGATGTTGATAGCGGGAGTTTGACTTTCCATGGCGCTGGGTGTTGCTCTATGTTGGTTCTGTTATCATACCGCTCCTTTAGCGATTGTTTATAGTTGTAGCAATACCAGGATTATTTGTTAGCTCTCCAATGCTAACATCATATCACTACACGCGGCTCTTTTCTTCGGACACCATTCCAAATCCTTCTATAGCTCGCGTTCGGTTATAACTAGTCAAGTCCTCTATTCCCGCTCTTCAATCGGAGCCAAGCCGTACACACGGGCCCAGCCTCTTCGTAAACGCAACCAACAGGCGGTGAAGCACTTCACCCCACGGATAAGATGATTGGCGCATCACATCTTATCCGTTTCGAGCATACTATACATGTCCTGCGGAGTAATTCTTAATGATTACCCCAGAAATATGTCAGCAATGCCCAGGGGTTACTATCGACATGGGGTGTCTGATAAGAGTTCCATGTTCGGGATATGATCAACGTATCAGACGATAACCTTCACCCGGCTCGGAGCAAATACGTACGCGAAACTCTCGCGGTGTTTGAATTCAGGCAGGATGAATAAGCTTCCCCGGATAAACTCTGTTGGTAGGACAAGTGATGCAACTGGTTTGTTGGCTCGAACTACGGATGGAAGTGAAACGGTGAGTCCGATGGTGTTTACTCGCGATGTGACGTTGCATGCATACGGCTTTTTGCTCGGGTTGGGCATGAAGTCGGACTGAACTTCGTCTGGTCCTGACACCTCTGGGAGGTCCCGAAGGTTTGGAATCATGCATCCTTGCCAAGGTCACACTGAAGAAATTCACGCAAACGAGACCGAGGCAAGTGTCAGGAAAAAACAAATCGTATACGCTGTTATTGAAAGGTAATGCAATGCTAGCTATGAGCAACCCAAACCATCTCTAAGTCTTGCAATCAAAAACAAACTCCGCATACGGAGTGTATCTGCCCAACGTAGCATGATGAAATAGATTCCCAGTCAAACAATCAAAAAGCGCAATGACATAAGTACGCTGCCTATCGTTTAACGCCGGATCACGCATGAACTTCTCTGATTCGGCGTAATACTTCTTCTCAACGTCGAAGCTCATCGTTCGAGTAATAGTCTTTGCCAGATGCTGCGGTACACACATGAGCTTTTCAATGACATGTACTGCGTTGACGACAGAGGCGTTGATGGTGCGTGACTCGTGGATCTCCTTATCGTAGGAGTAGAGATCGTTGATGAGCATAGAGTGTATCACGTAGAGCTCTTCTAGCTCCTCAAAGGGAGCGATTTCCTCGGGGGTATGGTGAATACCTGTTCCAAAGCGAATAGCGGCAACCATGAAGCTGAAGGGGGTTAGTGTGCCGTAATGGAATTGGAGGAGGTGAACTCACGGTTTGGCAATATCGTGGCGGCGGTAGTCGATGTACTCGGCCAAAGTTGCGTATTGATCTTGTTTGAATGGTGACTTTTTACGGCCTGCATTGACGAATAGGCCAATAGCCTGGAGGAGACCAGGGCCAAGAATGGGATCACATTCCATGACTTCATTGTAGAATCGCTTCATTTGTTTGTTCTTAGGTTTCATGGTCACGAAATCATCAGCAACTGTGGTTTCCTACAGCGGGTCAGTCCCGTAAAAGCATGGTATCTGTTCAACGTACATCTTGTGTTGCACCGCGCTCCATAACATCTAGATCAGTGTTAGCGAAATCGACGTTGAGTGGGATGTATACATACCATCGTGGAAATATAGAAGAAGAAGAGCCTGTGTCAACAGTTCTATTCGAGTTCGCGACGATGACGGATAGAGGTAAACGGCGCATGAAACCGCATCTTCAACGAGCTCGTCAATCTTTCCTTTTCGTCGCTCGTCCATAAACTCCACAGGTAGAGCTCCTCTCTCAGACGCTTTGTCGGCACTGATTCGATTCACCAGATCCCGTCCTGCTGCTTCACCCTGTACCCACCACTTGGACTGCCTTACCCAAGGGAAAGAAGTATGCCATGGCACGCCCAGCTGTTCAGGATACAGCGTCAGAGGAGCATCTTTAGGGACGTTTGTCTCTCTGAACAGTGAAGCAAAGTCAAGGTCGGGTGGCCCAAGAGTATCTGGGCCAACGGGGTCAAAAGCACGGACCAGAGGTCTAATAGGCAAGTCTTTGTGAGGCATTGTGTATGTGTATAAGAAGAAGGAGCTTGGATAACGAACGGATCTACCCAGAACTTCCCGCGAAGAATTGCGCCACCCGCAGGCTTTATGTTCTTTTTCGATTACCGCGGCGGTGAACGGACCATGAACTGACGACGGCAGCATCGGTTCGGGACGACTCCATAACGGTTACAACAGGCCAGAGGTCCAAACAAGTGAAGCTAACAGGGATATGATAACCACCCAACGGCTCTGCATCCAGGGTGTTTGTTTTTCTGACTGATATCGTTATCCTGCTTGCTAGCTCGGCACGTGATGGCTCATCTCCTGGTGTGATTCGATGGCAGTACCGGCATGGGCATGGGCATGGGTGATGTGATAAGACCCGGCGCTTTTCTCGCGACGAGAAGTACGCGTGGAGTCATGCAGAGTAGTATTCACCATACTTGACTTGCAGTACGACTCAGCAAGCGAGACCGAACGGGTTCTGCAATCATACCATGGCCCACGGACTTGACTGACATGTGCTGAAGACCCCTGGACCAACGACACGGGTCGTATACCCACTTGAGGCGCAGGCAACGGTTCCATGCGACAATACTACGCTGCCCCATCCGAAAGTAACCAAAGGATCCGGCCAAGTGGGTGACACAATGCAGATCAGGATCCCCTGAAACGCTTGCAGTTAGCATTATCATTACCTCGACTGATAATAACTCGTCCAACTGTCAGGTCAAGCGGAGCAACAGCTACTGACATGCCTAATTCCCGCAAATGTCATGGGTGCCATGCATCTCAACGTCGTAGCATTGCAACGCTAAAGCACGTTGATTGCTAGAGCCAACAGCTCGGGTTCCCCTGCTACACAGTCATGATAGTTTTTTTTTATTTGCCTGCCTAGAACAGACTTTCGGCGCCCCCACCTGTTGGTTGCTGTACATAGAACAAAATCCCTGGACCTTTTGAACAGGGGGAAATGACACGTAATGGGACTAGAGATTTTTAGTTTAAACGGTCACATCATTTACCCCGGTATTGTTCGACCGTTGGATGTGACGGTTGACGGGGGATGGACCATGTTAAACGGAGGAAACCACCCATTGTCAAATGTGAGCCCTCGGGTCTCACCCGAGGTACATGCGAGTTTTATTTTATGCAGGATGTTGCATAAAATAGTAATATCGGCAAAAGAAATGGGGCTTGTCACATTGCATGTCGGGATCAGGGTTTAGTACTATTACTCAATTCATGCTAGACTACCTCTGCCAGTACCTAGACTTAGTTTACTTGTCCCAATGGACATCCATCTCAGGAGACTATCCCAGACATATACCAGAGCCCATAGCACCTTGTGTAGTCTGTCATCTTCTCGTACCAGCAAGAGAATATTCTTGAGAGGGCTTTACAATGCTAAAACTTCAGAGTCCAATGCAAATCATGTCTCATAACGTAAATAATCATCTTGACAAGAAAACATTTCCGCAGGAGCGTCATTCTGATACAACCTCAGACACAAACAGCACCAACAGTGCGAGTCATCTAGTTGCCAGGCTTGAAAAAAGCGGACATGTTGTCGTCAGATTCGTCGCCGACTTTTCCCCAGAAGACAGCAGAGGAAAGGATGCGGTCGTTGAAAGCAGTCAATCGCTTCTCTTTGTCAAAGACGGGACCATTGAATTTGGTTTTCTGGAAGGTCTCGAACTTGGGGAGTTGGTAGACGTTGGCCTTGGCGCCAGATGACTCCTTTGAAGAGACAGAGTGCTCATCTTCAGATGAGTCGTTGGATTCGCTGGCAGCATCAGACTCGTCAATGTTCTCTAACCAGTTGCGCACCGATTCAACGAGAGCGGCCGCAGCTCGACGTTGGATTGCTTCCTCAGTCCAGTAGTCCTCAATGATGCAGGCCTGAAGTTCATTGACGGTTTCCTCAGTAGTCTTGACAGTCACTTGGACGTCAGACTTGACTTGGACGTCAGACTTGGGCTGAAGGGTGGCCTTGATAGAGTCCTTCTGGGTATCCAAGTCGACCCAGACATCGTTGTCATCGAGGTGATCAGAGGCTCGGTCATCCTCCATGCCCATGTCGGAAAGGGCCTCGAAAAGGTTGATACGACCGGGAATACCGTAGTCCTTGAGTTGGACGCCGCCGGGACCGAGCTCGCGGTTGCGAACCACGGTCTTCCTGGTGGTCAAGAAGGAAAACATGGTGAAGATGAGGTCTGAGTCGTTGATGATCAGGGTTCGTGGAGAAGGGGCGTCGTTGATGGTAAGAGTCGGAGTGCTGTGATGTGATGTGAGTGCAGAGAGGGAGAGGTTAATGAGAGTTGTCTTTGATAACAAGACTTGCTGGTGATGGAAGGCGTGGAAGTGTTGTAATATGTGTTGAGAGAGAGAGAAGGTGATAAGAGTAAAGTGCTCTTGTGTAAGTTGAAAGAAGTGAGATGAAGATGTAAATCAAAGTGCTCTGATGTAAGTTGAGGAGGTCAAGGGATGAAAGTAGAAGTGTTGTGCTATAGCCTATAAGTTGATGAAGAATGAGATGAGATATTACAAGGATATCTCAGCTCGAGAGTCTCGCCGAGTGTGTTGAGGGAAGAGTTAGAAAGTATTCCAAACCGGAGCGAGAGAATTCTCTTATTCGGAGCTCCTCCTCCTGATCTGGCAGTGTAACACCAAACCGAACATCATGAAGGTGAACACTCACTGGCACTGGCAGATTAAGGTCCATTTAGCCCATGCACTTGCTACTGGGCAGGCTCCGAGGGGGACGCCTAGAAGGGAAGTCCATTAACTTGAGAGATATAAGTGCCTCGACCAACCTGAGCTTGTGCCAAGGCCCAAAGAGGTAGTGATACAGTGGCATGCATTCGTGGATCTGCAGAACATTGCCAGGAACACATGGCGAACGTCCTAGATTTCAACTTGCAGCGGCGGAAGTAGTACGAACATGTTTTGGTCGTGCACTATATCGGGTCTGTAAGTGTAGACACGCGCTGAGAATGGAACAACAGGATTACTTCATTTGCAGGGAACCTGTACATACTGCACTTTAGGAGCTTGATATTAAGAAGAGTCTGATGTGGCGAGTGATCCACATAAATCAGCTTTGAGGAGAGAGTAGTAGTCACAAGGACATAGTAGCACGGTCAATATCAGTCATCATCTCAGAAGTCTTAGAGCAGGATCACATTGTTTCAATTCGCCTCCATATAAACCTCATGAGCAAAAGCAAAAAACTGTCAACTCCTCCACACTCCCTCACAGCACCTTCTTCTGATCTTCCAAAGGATACTGCTCAATCATAGACCCCGGAACCCTAACCCTTCCCCGTGGCGCAATCTTCATACCATGCTCATTTCTCATCATCGCCCAAGTAATGCCCCGACCCCCCTCCGCCTGAATCTCATAAACCTCATTAATCCGATACGCAAAGTCATAGCCCTCGTAATCAGCGTCCTTATCATTGTATTCCTTGTTTCCCAACCCATCTTCAGGCAGCGGCGCATCGCCGGAGTTTCTCGTGACGGCTTCGTCGACAGTGCAGATATGAGTTATGGCGGAGTGGGGAGCAGTGCGGTAGAACCAGATGCGCTGGATGCCGGCCATGTTGTACTTTCGGAACTCGTAGGTCTTGGTGCCGTCGATGATTTGCTGTAGGTAGGGGTCGTTCATGGCGAGGATCATGTCGCTGCGCTGGGGGGCTTTGCTGGGAGAAGACATTTTTGCGGTGGGTTGGTGTTGGTGAGGCGAGGAAGCGCTGAGGTGAAGGCGATGCTTATAAATGAGGCGAGCCTAAAGTTAGATCAGATTTAGGGAACGTGTTGTCTGAGATCAGGTGACGGCGTGAAGTTGGGCTGGATTGGATGGCAGTGTCAGCAGCCGGCAGAACTCCTCTATTATCAGCATTGAGGGCCGTGATAAGAGATGGACTATAACTGCTCGAGAAGACATGCCTCATTCATTTCGGCCAATGTCGCCATGCGGGTAAGACTCTTTGAAAGAATGGGAAGTGCGCTATTGATAAAAGGGCCATCTTTAAACTTACGCTCTAAGTTCAAAGTGTAAAGCATGAACAAAGTATATCTCGCCTACCGTGCAACACTGAAATTGACACGATCATATGTTCTGGCGATTGGGGTTACTGAACAGCAGCGGAGCCGAGGTCAAATCAAGAATGTACTCTGAGCATAGTGGCTGTATAAATCTCATCTCCCAAACACAATAATGTCCTAATGCTCATCACCTATAAATGAACAGACACAATCTCGGGGACGTCAAACTCTGAAAGGTCAAATACTAAGACCCTGACGTCTCGCTCGAATAGCAGCCATAATCATATCCCACGCAGCATTATCCTTCTCCAACGTCCCTTTCTCCGGTGCAAACCCCTCCTCATCACAATCGTACCGCGAATTCTTCTCCAGCCACGGCGAAGGCCCCAGACCACAATTATACTCAATGTACTGCATCCGACTCGTTCTCTGATTATCGATTCCCGTCCCGTATCTATGCTTCTCAGACACGCAGGTATTCTCCCTGTCCCAGTATTCCTCCTCCGTTGGGCCAGGACAGGCAAAGTCCCGGTGCTGGTTTCGCGTGAGGCGATGATCCATAGCTTGCAAGTCGATGTCCTTGTAGTCGGGGTCTTGAAGAATCGCCTGGCGAGTATCCTTGGGACAATCCCACCAGCAGCCATGACCAACTCTGAGTGTCTTTAGCCCTTTCATCGAATCCTTCCAATGGGAGAGGATATTGTTCCATCGGATGGGAAAGTCGCGTTTGATAGGATTCCATCCTCGTCCTGTACCTCCTTGTGCTGTATGTGCTGTATGATCAGCGTACCCATCGTTTCCAATGCGAAGCTGACGCGCATGATACAGAATCGGACAATCATCGAGATACAGTTCAACCAAACCCCCACTGCCGTTCTCCTTGCCGAGCTTCGCGAACCACTCGATCTGCCACTCATGAGTAAAGACGTAGTTCCCGAGCGCAAGAACCTTGAGTTGAGGAAATGGTGAGTCCTCGCCAATGTTTCGAAAGTCCATGATGGGGAACCAGCCCCAGTAATCTTTGAAGTATAGCGACAGTACGCGCAAGTGATCCGTAATATTGGGCGAGAGCCATGTGTTGTGGAGGTTATCGAAGAAATCGTACTTCTCAATGTAGTGGATCGTGCTCTCAGGTGAAGCCTCGCATTCTTCGGTTGTGACAAAGACACGAAAGTCAACGAGGGTTGGTAGAGAGATGATCGTCTTCCAGGCCTCGGAGCCAGCGAGGTGAGGATCATCGTAATCCGCCAAATGAGTAATCGTCAACTCCTTGAGCGGAAACGGCTTATCATGAGTGAACTCAAGATCCTGATCACTGTAGTCAAACTGCTCATCCTCATCATCATTGAGATAAATATATCCCTCCATTACCTGGTCAATCTTGATCTGCTTCTCCAGCGTCCACAGCCCCGCGGCGCAGTGAAGAATAGTATCAAGCACACGGTACCGCAACTCAAACGTTTCTTCAATAGTTTGATAGTAACGGTCATCTTCGCCGCAGTGTTCCTCAAAGCGAATATGAAGCGCCGTAACGTTGGTGAAACAGCGGAGATGGGGGAGTGCGTTCATGAAGGCTATGGGGAAGATGTATGACTCGTTGCAGAGGTACTCAAAGTCAAACTCAATGCGCGTATCAATAGTGATCTCTCGAACTAAGCTGCGCATTTCGGGAGTCTTGGCGATCTGGATAAATCGCTCAACAGATGAAGGCGCGAATGCTTCGAGACGTAAGCTTCTGTATTTCCATGGTCGTGCAATCTCATTGAGTCTGTGAGACGTGAGACGGAGATTGGAGAGGGTTGGTGAGGTGAGGAAGGAACAGATGTTGTCCCATATCTCAGTCACGAGTCTTGAGTCGTCGGAAGCCATGATTGAGATGTTTGAGGTGAGATGAGATTACTGAAGTTGGGTTGAAGCATTTTTGAAGTCGTTGGATGAGCGCCTTATAAGTTTCTGCTCAGCACTAGAGCAACCCCTGTAAATGGGGCTGGTGCCTAGATCTGGTAGGCAGTCGGCGCGCTAGACCCGCTGGAAGAGGAGCTACCTGGCAGAAATCGTCCAACCTTGAGCTACAACTGTCAAAGATAGGCTAAGTTTATACTTAATTTGCCTATATACTAAAATTACCTAAATTTATGCCAGAGTAATTCCAATCTTTCTTGCTTTCCCTGACGCCGCAGCCTACGTGCTTGCAGCGAGCGGGGTTCTCAATCAACGACTCATCATCACAGCCGTGCACATTCACGGTCTCATTTGCATCTCATCACCGTGAGAGCAGCAAATCACAACAAGCGCGTGTCCTGAAAAGTAGTGAAGTCGCTCTCAGAGCGGTGTATGATTGGAGATACCGTAATTATATAATACAAGTCATGAACCCATTGTCTGCTAACACCTCGCTCAGAGTGTAATACCATAAAGACCCTCGCCCTGTATAACCTCACCATTCTCATACGTCACCCTCTTCCATCCTTCAACATGCGTCTCATCACGAAGCCACTCGACAGTAGGCCAGTAGCGCTCATCCTTCTTGATTGTCACAACGGAAGGAGTTCCGGTGTAGTTCATCATCTTGATCTTGAAATCTACGCTCCTGTTAGTTACGTTTTACCGACGGGGTAACTTGGGACCAGTGTCCTAAATTTAGGTAATTTTGTCATAAAGTTAGTAGACTTTATAGAGTCTTCTACCCCTTATGATGATGTGCCCTAAGTTTTGCATAGTTTAGAGGAGAACTCACAGGTTTTATCAGGGATACTTGCGATGATCCCCACGAGCGATTGCAGATCTGGCGTAGGCTTGTTGTCGATGTGCGTGATGAACGTCGTGGCGTAGACGTTATACAGGTTCGCCGGCGATCCTATGAACCAACTTGTGATGTACACTTCGCTCGGCAGCTTCTTGATACTCTGCCTTACGGTACGATGAGGTTTCTGCGCTGTCAAGCCGCAGAAGTTAATAACGCGCGAGGTCTCAAACTCATCTTCGGAGACAGTTTGCGCTTTGAAGCTGATTTGTTCGCCATTTCGCACCGCGACGACGTCGAGGCTTTCTTTCCAATACATGACGTCGACGTCGTGGAGCTGCGTGATGAGCTTGCCGTCAAGCGTGAGCAGGACATCGCCTTCGCCGAGTTGACCTGGGAGTTGCTTTGGCCCGCGTTTTACCATGAAGAGTCGTCGGTCGGAGGACGATTTGCTCTGTACCTTTTCGATCCACTCTTCTGCAACGCCCATGACTCGCGCTTCAATCATTGTTACCGCTTCAAGCTCAATGGAGAGACTGCGTAGGGTTGGGACGATGCCTTGGCTTAGTTTCTCAGCGATGGGCGCGATGGCTTGGGAGCTTAGACCGAAACACGCCTCGTCGAGATCTTCCATCTCGTAGACGACCCAAAGAGCCTGAACGACGCCGTCTTCACGGATGAGCACGCCGCTCCCGCAGTGGTTTCCGATTCGAGTCTCCACATCAATACGGTCAACGTTGACGGGGCGGCCGCGAGGTGGATTCGGTGGTTCTCGCTCGAGGGGAATGACCTTTGTTACAGCTGTTGAGGCATACACCATCTCATCGCAATCATTATGCCCAACGAAGAAAGTCGGCGCGCCCTGTGAGATTCTCTCAGTGCTGAAGATGGCGCTTTTCACGGGCGCGTCAACGAGACTGGGGTCGTATTGAATGATAGCGTAGTGATGCGCAGGATGCAGGAAGACGACCTTTCCAGGAACAAGGACCGAATCGGCAAAGGTCAGTTCGATATCGCACAGTTTCGTTGGGACGACAGTTCTCGAGACGATGACGTAGCCTCGGTCGGCGTTGACAACAAGGCCCATTCCAAGTTTAATGCGTGTGGACTGTCCATCGATGAGGACAGGCGACGAAAATCTCACTTGGACGAAACTCCTCGCAATCTCGGCAATTTCCCGCTGAGCAATATGCTCCAGCGCATCAAAAGACGCACTCAACGGCGGCGGTCGAATAGCAGGCAACGGCTCAGCGAGTATCTCAACATCCCAGACCCCTGTGGTATCATTCCTCTTAAACATCTTCATGCGCTGGAACCAATGCCGATCAATAGGCACCACAGCCGTCCGCACAGTCTGCGGTTCCCACACATACCAGAACTTAATAGCCACGCGAGCTCTGTCGGGGATATCCTTCATGACCTGCACAAAAGCATCCAAGTCCGGCGTCTTTTTGTGATTGATGCTATCGACCATGATGTAGTTATCGTGCGTGGGGTGAAAAGGACCGGATTTACTGACGTATACGCCGCGGCCGCGGCAGGGGAGGAAGTATCGTTGGGCGACTTGGTATGATAGGTCGTGGAAACAGGCTGCTCCGACGGTGACGAAGCGGTCGGGTGTGATTTCGCAGAGGTCTTGGACGAGGATATCCTCTTCGATGTCTTGGCCGTCTCTTTGGACCAGAATGCGCACTATTTTGCCAATGTTGGAGTCGAAGATCTCGTTGAGGCGGAGGAATTGTGTGACGAGATCCCCATTGATCTTGAGGAGAATATCGCCCTCCTTCAACTTTCCGTCTGAAGGACCTTCGGGCAGGACGTCCATAGCGACGATGACGTTATCCTCGCCAGGGAAAGATTTGCGCAAAACACTCTCCCACTCAGGACTCAGCCCCAGCCGTCGGCATTCATCAAAGGGCTTTAGTTTGAACACAGTCTGGATCTCGCCTCTTTTCACCTTCTCGCCGCGTTGGATCTGCTTCAATGCTCGCAGCGGTCCGTCAAGGGGGAGGAAGTAATCCGTCGACCCGTCAGTGCGCCCGCCTGCTTGGAGAGCTATGCCGTGCCCGTCGACGTTGACAACAGGACTTCCGGAACTTCCTCCTGACGCTGAAGCATTGGCTTGGAAGTAGCATGTATTGAAGTCCATGTATCCGTCGTATATGGGAGCGTTTCTGTCAAGGCGGCTGATGAAACCGGAGAGGATACCGAGCTTTTCGCCGCTATCGTTACCGATGACTTTGATCTCGGTACCAACTGTGTCACGTTAGCAGCAGGAATTGCATTGCAGGTTATGGTCTGACCTTTCGCGAGATCAGGTCGTAATTCCATCGCGGTGAGAGCCATGTATTTAACCGCTTTGGGGTCAAACTTCAAAAACCCAAAGTCATGTACTGGATCGCGATAAATTGGGTACGTATCAACTTCTTCCTGGTTATTGAAGACGATGTACCCCGAAAAGGGCCCAGGACCGACAACATGTCGATTAGTGAGGATGATACCCTTTTCCGCATCAACAACAAAGCCAGTTGCCTCGCTCGTCTTGCTAGTCTCGGTGTCGAAAGAATAAGGGTGCGAGAACTTGACCGATACAACGCATCGGACGACCTTTTCTATCGCTCTCTGCCAAGCTTCGCTTTCTCGCTCCGAAAGGAGCCCTGCTGTAGCGGGATGTTCTTGCTCTATGTGATGTGTGCTGACGCCGTTCTCTGTTGAGAGGGATACATCGCGGAGTTTCGTGAGGATGGGATCCTGGTCGATTGTCATCCTGGCGGTCCAGGGTTGAAGATTCAAGATGTCAAAAGGGTAATGTACAAGATGGGTATAGTATATTTAATTGATGTTGAAGAAGGGAGGTTTTAAATGAGATTGAGGTGAAGGAGGTTGAAATAGTTTGTTGCTTACGCTGAGCCAAGGCAGCTCTCTGTGTTCATCACTGACTGCGTCTTGCGTCTGTGACCGACCCCTCATCAAATGCATCAATCAATTACTCAGCCCCCAAAAGTGGATATCGCTCACCGACGAGGCAATTTTCATTGGATGCACTCCAAAGGCGGTAAGAAAACCTAAGACCGGTATTCCAAGCAACAAAAGAGACAAGGCAATTGTAGACTAAATTAGTACAGCCTCTGACTTTTTTATTATGACACCCTTTGTCCAGGCTAGATGTTTTCCGTCTCTCTCACAACAGGCAACCGCGCCAAAGAATCAAAGGCAATGACCACAATTTTCAGCCTCATAAGGCGTCCCGAATGACTCCAGCGACTTTCTAGTGGGTATTTGAAGATCTTTGATGGTTTTCGTGTCGTGTGAGATGTTCAGCTCGGAATTATCGGGCGGCCGAATTGAGGTGTTCCGAATATTGGTCTGCAGACCTTGGGGGTCAGCTTACCACTGACGCGGTGACTCATGATGTTGCACATGATCCAGATCTGCTTGAGAGAGTGAGTAACTGTGAAGATTATTGCTTGTTCTGTGAGTAATTAATTTTGGAGTTGATTGTGCCTTTGTTACACACGGAAACCTCACATTGCAAAGATCTCACCCTCGGGCAACAAGAAATCAGTCAGACCTTGATGTAGGGTATTAAAATAAACTCAGCAAAGGTACCCTAAACTCATATGACATTACCTACTTCTTTCTATCATTTAGGGACGTCTATTCTAAGTCGATGTACGATGAAATCAATGCATTTTTAACCAGAAGCAAGAGAAATCCTCGTCTTGCTCTCCCCCATCCTCAAACTCCACTCTCCATCCCAATCCTCCCTCTTCCTAACCTCCACCGCAGCGCTCTTCTTGGGCGTGTAAACAGTCGCCATATCCCCCGTATTCAGCGCCGGATTCTTCACCCACTCCCCCTTCACAGGCGCGATATCGCTCCTGACAGCCAAAAGTGCGATGACGATAAGAATCTCAGTCGTGGCGAATTGACGCGCTGGGCAAAGATGCGGCGGTGCCCCCCAAGCTACAAAACTGCTAGCCTTGCGGTCTGAAGAGTCTTTGGTGAAGCGATATGGATCGAATTGGTCGGCGGTGGGACCCCATGTTGACGTGTTGGTGTGCACGGGTTGGCCGGGCATCATTACGTAGTGGCCTGCTTTGAGGAGGTATTTTCCATCGAGGAGGGTGTCTTCTGTTACTTTGCGGATGTTGGCGTGGACATGCCTTAGTCTTTGAGTCTCCTGGAAAACAGATAATGTCAAAGGACATTTCGTCTTTAAAGCAGCGACATCGACTTTAAAGCCTGATTCCTTATCTCCACTGACAGCTTGCTCAATGACTTCTTTTCGTACCTCTTCAAGAAGATCCGGTCGAGAGAAGAGCTCGTAGATAGTCCAGTACATAATCGGAACTGTGTTTGCAAAAGCAGCAGTTCCGAAAGTAGCTTGTTGCTTGCAAATGTCATCTTCATCAATACCAGCTTCTTGCATTGAGCGAAGACGCTCTTTGTAGATGAAGGATACATCGCTGGGGAGATTCTTGTTATACTTGCGGAAAGCGTCAAAAACAATTTGGCGGGCGGCGTAGCCTTTGCCAGTGATGTCAAGATTGACCATGTGAAGAGGGAGATATGATTGCCATTTCCTATCTAATTAGTTTATGTTTGGAGTGAGAAGGGGGTGGCTTACCAAAAAGCTTGGTCGACTTTTGGATCAAGAAAAGGATGCTCAACACCGAAGATTCCACAAGCACTAGCTTGAACAACAGCATACTGTGCCCACTCCAGCAAGTCGACTTTCGAAACACCATCTTTATCCTCGGGCAGAAGTTGTTGGATATCGATCAACGCACGATCTCCCATTCGAAGATTCTGCTCATCAAGAAACGGCCCCGTAGCAAGACCGTTCTTGTGAGCGTGACTGAACGAATCAACCCATTCTGTACCAAAGACTTCAAAGGTCTCGGGTATAGCATCGCCCATAAGTTTAGCGGCTGTCTGCATGAATGGCCGGAAGGAGAGAGTTTTAGAGGTCTTTTGGATCAGGGGGATAAGACGGGATGTTTTGGCGATGTAGAGTTTGGTGTTGAAGATGGCGACGGTGTACATTTCCTCGTTTGTTTGCTTGCTTCCTCACAGTCAGTTTGCGTCCGGAACATCGAAGGCTGGAAGTACCTTGTTATTCCATGGTAGCCAGAGCTATACTTCATCATACCCCATAGATGACCAAAGAGCGGTATTTTCGACTGTAGTCTCTTAGGTTCTCTTGGATCATCAAACAGTGAGAGAATCCATTCTGCCGCGTAGGCAAGCAGGACGAATCCTGCAATACTGTACACAGCTTCTCGCAACATTGTGATGATAAACTCTCAAGAATCCATCTCAGTCGAGGCCGTGCTAGAAACTAAATAGCAGACCGTTCCCTCGCTTATCCAAGATTTTAGTCCGTCGGATCCTCATGATCCGAATACGAGACACCCCTTCCTTTGGTGGATCGCTCGCACAGGAATACCCCTAGCGTGACGCTACTCCAGCACTGATGGGACTTATGTTCAGGGATCAGCATTGGAAAACTGGATTAGCCAGTACGATGAGGATAAATACGTGTTTCGTGATTGGAGGAGAGATCAAACGTCGATTTACCCCGTAATCTGTCGTATTCGGGGAAGAGACGAAGATCATGGGCAACATCCTGAATTGCTTAACAGAGTCTTAGTGCACTCCAAGAGATACTGCCAAAATCAAAGTCGTCAAAGATTCCTCTAAAATTAGGAGAACTAGCCTAAGTGTTTGTATTTCTCAGGTGCAAGGCCCTAATGTTTTATTGCCATCCTCAGTGGAGTTCATCATCGTTGACTTTGGTCGCATCACCATTATCAATTTCCTTTCTCCGCGACATGTGATGTTGACATTAGTAGCCTTCATGCCTGTTTATAATAATCCCCTACTTCACTCTCTAGTATCAATAGCCGCGTTCTCAAAAGCGCCAATCATGGCGCCATACAGCTTTTCCGTGGCCTCAACGTCCATATTCGTGCCTGTAAAAAACTCGTTTCCATCAGGAAAGAAGAGCACATCGCGAAGGGCATAAGCCAAACTCTCTAGGCCCTTGAACTCTGGGCGAAACTCGCCAAGGATGGCAGAAAAACTGTCGTTGCTGGAAATGTCCTTTGTCTTCTTCTCAGCGATCTCTGGCCAGTTCTTGGAACCGACATCCCACGGCCTCAATCGACTTTGGTGAGATGGCCTCTTATGTCCACTCACTGCTATAAACAAGAACACGTAGAAGAAAGATTCGAGGTCGTGGCGATATGTATGTAGGACAGGATTTTCGCTGTTGCGCGATAAGTCAATGGCCATGAAGGTCTTGGTTCCATACAAGCAGTAAGGCTTCTCAGGTTCGATTTCCATGTACCTGGCGTTGTCCAAACCGATGAGTATTCCTTTGGAAGGGTCTCGTTTGTTCCTTCCAGCGTTATGGATGCGGAGGCTGCGGATAGAGACATGCCGATGAAGAATCTTAGCATCTATATACAACGATCGGTGAGCTTTGATCGTGTCACGCATGCATTCGAGAACCTCCAACACAATGCGATAGTCGTAAATGGGACGACCAAAGGGGGTGATGACTGCACAAGTTAAAAGTGTAGTCTTGGTACAGACGCTCTTATAGGCGACGAGCTCGGCGATGCCGCAGACGTTGTGCTCCTTAGTTCGACGTAGTAACTTTTGGTGGCTTTGTTCCTTTCTAGAAAATTTGACGACAAACTCATTGTTGAGTTTGTCTGTGGCGCGATAGCAAGTCGGCATTTCACTGACAATATCGTCAGGACATATGAGAGGCTTCTTATCGAGGATAAGTTTGCATTCCCCGTTGTGATCGAACTCGCAATGCCCCGTTTGTGACCCATTGCTCTTGATGCAGACATACGGTGGTCCATTTAAATCTTGCCCGCGAAATGGATTCATGCCAAGCTCAAGCTCAGTCATACTTCCATACGCATCGAGTAACGCTTGGAGGTCACATTCATCGTCGTTTAACCCTGACCGGTAGACCCCCGATCTGTCAAAGAGCCAAAACTCCCTCTGTTTGCCCGTCTCGAACAGGCCGAGCACGAAGAGTCTTGTTGGTTGGCGTAGGAACACATTCCTGGCGAGTTCCAAAAGCCGTTCCACACCTTGGTCGTAGCCAAATTCGATATCAGCCGGGATATCGATTCCGACGACATATGCGCAGTCCCATACGTGTTTGATGTTCTTGAAGTGCTCACTGACCACGTAACACTCACGGTAGCCGGGCTCGGAGCCCCTGACCTGAGGAGACACCACGGTCGTTGCTAGGTTGCGGGTACAGTAAAACAAATCAAAGAAACTTTTACCAACCACGCGGATGTCGGCCAGAGTCTCTTCCATTCTCCGCAGTCACAGCCAGGAGACTGGTAATGAAAAGACGTAAGGAGGAAAGTTCAGAGGTGTCACGGCCTTTATTAATAAAATAATTTTCTTGCATGACGTCAGGAAGTCCCATATATGAAAGCTAATCCTCATTGCCTAAAGTTAGAATCGTGAATCATAGAAAGCAAATTGCCACAGAGGAAGCATAAATCACGACATTGATTGATCGGTAGTTAAGGTTCAGGCTGTATCAATGAGGCATATCAAGCCAACAAACTGAAATACCCCAATTCACGTTTGCTGTTTTCAGTCAATATGCACATAGGGTCATAAAATTAAACCGTTGCGTAAGGCTTCTTTATATTAATACTCCATCGTGGGAACGGAACTATGGGTCAGAGATATCTTACCTGTATAAAGTTTCAAACCCAGGCAATTTGACCGATTAACGAAAGACTTTTATTTGAAGACGCGCTGTCCTTAAACCCATAGCTGCGTCTAACAAACACTGAGTTCGACATGACGTTGCGGCGAAAAGCTTTAAATACGTGACTCTGACCCTGAGGACAAAGTATTCATCGCTGGAGTCCCTCAACTTTCACGAGCCAAATAAGGCAACAATGAATAACAAGCGTTGGAGAATACTGGCAGACGCCGCCTCGCAAAAACGACAAAGGAACGCCGATCGCGTCGCAGAGAGGATGTTGGCTGATGCTGAGGGTCTTACAACCTCGAGTGACGGAGCTGGGATACGATAAGCGACCGGCCTCTTTATCTTAGAGCGATTTTGCTGCTCAACAGAATACAAATCAATCTGTGTCTTGTAAAGAAATATATATCTCTTACGCAGACCCTGAGAATGAATAGTTTTTTTTTATTATTCAAAGGTTATTATCGCCAGATCTTTCAGAGCTGGATGCAAATTTACAATCTGCTCAAGCATTTCGGTTTATTAATAAGCCTTCAGCCGTAGGTAGGAAGAATTCGCCTCGCCTCGCGTTCCATCTCAGCCAATTCAAGTTGCCGTATGATCTCATGGTCAAGCGAATCTAGCTGCTCTTCATCAAGCATAGCTTGCTGATCGTCAGATGATCTCTCAAACCCTTTCCACATAGAGGCATCTTTAACTTCTTTTGTAAGCCTCGGTTCTCTCGTGTAATCTCCCAGGCCATGTCGATAATAGGGAGGTGATGTCCTCCAAGAGTTTGCTCCCCAGCCCATCTCCATATCCTTATCCTTATCGTCCGGACCATCCCAATCCCGCATCATCTTATTCTGCAAGCAATATTAGTCTCTGTCACACATAGCCAACAGCTTCGAACTGACCCTCATTCTCTTCTTTCTGTCCTCTATATAAGACTTATAGACTTTATAGATCTTGTAGCCCGACTCGCATATGGAAGCGATGCACAGCAGTCCCTCCAGAATAAGGATGATAAGATCAAGAACTTCGAGGTGAGACATTTTTCATCTTGGTGTCGTTACTTGGAAAGGGTAAGTTTTTGGATGAGAAACCTGTCCGAGGTCTCGAAATTTGGACGAGGCTTTATACTCAGTGTCCTACCTTACAAACTTTCAGCCGGCTTGCTCAAAAAGATTCGTTCTGGGTCTATTAATGATCGGGACCCTTACTGTTTTCCCTCATCGGTTTAGGATTCAAGTTAAGATACAGCATATCACAAAAAGAACTTTTCAACAAAGCATGCCAAGATCAAAGTTTGAACATCACTATCAAAAGGTTTGAAAGCCAAACCTACTGGAAAACAAACCTCTATCGCATGGCAAGGAACTTAGATACCGCCGTATCTACGTCAAAGTTTCTCGCTGTTAGATTAGACTTTGATGGATTACGGTGCTCCAGTTATTTCTCATCCATTTTTATTATCTCTTCCCTGCCATTCTCTCCCTTTCGCAATGTCGCACCAATCCGTTCTAGCCTTAGACCGCCAATATGCCCGACTTCGTGTTACAACCCCATTTTTCGACATGGCGAATGCAGCGGCTCGCAGATCGTGTTCGACCTAGGGTGGGCACATATTACGTCCCGATTCTCGAAGCTGAGGAGGAGGATCCGATGCTCTTCACTATACCTATACGTGGTAGAGATCACCCAGCCCCCCAGAAGCCCCAAAGGTTGGAAAGTTATCCGAGACTCTTGAGCCTACCACCGGAGCTGTTGGTAAAGATTATGCTCATCCTACCGCACAGCTCGCTCTACATGGTCCGTCGGACATGCAGTGTCCTGCGCAACATAACCGACGACTTTCGGTTCAAGGCGTTCCAGACTGATATTCTCCGGCAGGGAGGAGAGCACTCCTGTCTCACCAAAGCTGGGTTTAACGAACTGCGTATGATTAAAAGAATACTACTACGAAGTACCCTGTGCGGGCCATGCGGCCGTCTCTTCGACTCAGGTGAGCTGGAGAGAAGGTTAAGGAATCTCTGGCAACGCGTTGCTTGCAAAGGCTGCAGACAATATCATCCGGCCCTCCTATTTCCTCAAGGACGACAAGGTGGTGGGCAAGACGGGCGTACATGCGTTGGGTTACTGGGCAAGCTTTCCATTTGCAAACATCTCAAGGTCACGGGTCAGATGGGGTCGTGCCCCGGAGACATGAAAGTAATCAACTGTACACATCCCGAGCATGTCATCACCGGCAGAAAGGACACCGGAAATCTACCGGTCTTCCAGAACTACCGTGCAGGTGTTTCAATTGATTCTCGGTATAGAGGGGTTAGAATCATCGTCTCCAAATCATTCCCGTTGGCCAAAGTTGATTATCGACAATACCCTGGATTGGAAGTACTCAAAAGACATCTGATGAAACAATTACGAGAGTTGGACGCGGGTAGTCTATGCCTGCACGCTTGGAGCCAGCTTGATTCAATCGTGTCCAGCATTGGTCAAGACGACTGCAATTGCTTTCCAGCCTCTGAGTTGCCATTCTTTTACAGGCCTCGCCTACCGTATATTGAACATATCAGGTGTCATAATCATGAATACCTGTGTCGGCATTGTGGAGCTTGTTACTTCTGGTCCGCTGACACCGACTACATTGTACTTCACGTCCGAATCACATCACGTTGGTTGGGCCCGGACAGCAAAGATTGGCTTTCGAACCTTACCTTTAACAGCAAACATCACCCCATCTTAAATACCAATACTAAAGGTATCTTGTGGTGCGGAAATCCTTGTTGTGGCACCGGCTATGGCCACCGCTGGTTGATGATGGTCGACATACTCGAGAAGGCTAGCTTACAATGGTACTATCCAAACTATGACCGCCTTTCACGGTACTATGATGGTCTCACAGATTATCGCTTCAGTCTGGAACGTCAGATGTTCGAAGAGAGGCCACTGTAGGGCCTTGAGATTGCTTGCCATGCATCTATTCTGTTTATTCACCGGGCTGCAGGGCACAACTCGTCATCGCCGCCGGAACCTAAATGTAGGTAGGGAGCATAAACTTATGATAAGACTTTACAAAAGTTATATACAGTTATATAAAGATATCGAATATTAATCTTAGTCATATAAACTCATCATAAGCCTTATCAAGTATTTAGTAAATTACTCGAAATAGACCCTAAATTACTCTCTCAACTGTCTTGATGATCCTCTGGTCCAACCCGTCATTTGTCAGGTTGGATATCGTTAACGGATCGCGATGGCGACCTTCCTAGCCAATGTCGGATCGGCCCTCCTGCCCATAAGCCTCAGGATCGATGGATCTCCTCCCTGTAGTGTCGTTGGACCAATGGTCCTTTCACAGACTACAACAACGAACTTCCTGACCACCACGACAAGAATTTTAGACTTGTTCCTCTTCATACTTCACAACATCAGTGCAGCAGCAGCAGCAGTCAAGTCTTTTTTGAGACATTCGAAGCGGTGACAGACGTCATGACCAAATGTTTGACCGCAGTGACACACGTGGTCACACTTGGGGGAAGGGATGAAGGCCTTCAAGGCCTAGGTAATGGAGGGGAAGAAGAGTATGTATTGCAAACACCCGCCCTCTCGCCATGACAACGAAACTGAAAGGTTCAGAAGTGGATGATACGGAGTCGGGTGCCCAAATGGCCTTATCATGGGCTCTATACTCTCAAGCACGATATTCCCGCCAACCTACCCCGTCAAAACCGCTCATAGGAGGCATACCACTAGATCACCTGCTCAGAGTGGATAACGTGAATAAGGTTGTGGGGAGTTTAAAGAGGCTTCAGCCTCCAGCGCACAAAGGTAAAGAACACCAATAAACACATACGGGCAAGATACTCATTACCCTTCAGAGTAGATAACAGACCTCCCGAACGAGAAGGAGAACAAGATTTGCTGTCAACGTTAAAACCACCGCCGCCATTCATCACAATAGGCAATCCCAACAGTGACAGTACCTCCACCAGTAACTCTGTGCCAGCTCTGAAAAACATGGAGAGAAAAAAAATCCAGCAGCTCAAGAATGATACTTGGGTCGCTGGTGTAGGGGAAAGTTCGAGCTGCGAACGGCATCACAAATGACCGAGAAGGAGGCAAGGCAGAAAAGCGTAGACACGGGTCGGCACTAGGGATTTCTCCCACAAGCGGACGACGAAAGAGGCTGAAGACCCGCGCTGGTGAATCAGATAGCAGCGGTTTGTGCTCCCATCTGTTGTTTGTGATCGCGTATGGGCAATGACTCAACACTTCGAGCTACCTACGATAAGCTTGATGCTACTTGGTTGATACAACCTCAAATGTCTTCTCGTTGAAGTTGGTGCCTGTCACTTCTACTTGTTGCTTCCTTTCCCAGACAGATGGATCTGTTGTGGCCCACAGAATCATATGTCGTTCATCGGCCTTCCGATTACAACTTCAAACACAATCAAGCACAAGTATGTTAGCAACATATATCCCCAATCAGTACTGATGAACCTCCACAGAGATTGCATATAGATTTCACGTACGACCCACAAGCGATCTCCCGGCCGACATCTCAATCGCCGACAGCTTCCATCACTAAAACATCACCACCTGTCACCAGGACATTACACATGACAATCGACACTGGAGAAGGTCTTTCTATCTCAGCTTCAACTTCTCAGACTTTTATTCTCTACTCTAAACTTCAGCGAGTCAATTAATCAGGCCCTATCTCACCTTGAAACGTAACTTATCCACCATTAGTAGCGTCTGATTGACTGGGGGAGAGTCCCTATTCACCGGTTGACCAAAAGATTGAGGATGAGTTAGGATGGCAATGTGCACAGTTCCTCACTGTGTTTTCGGATCAGCATACCTAAGTTTATAAATTCTGATCGATTACCTGATCAAATTCGGTATTGGGAAGCTTCTTGACCGCAGATAGCTTTTACATGTCTTAGGCTTACCGAGTTGGTACTTCGCTGAGCTTATACAAAGTTTAAAAATCCGGATTATGGGGGAGCTTTTAGAGTTGATTCATTTTATGACCTTGAAATACAGTTTTATTTATTCTCCATGGAAACTCTGATATTATATCATTGGTCTTGATGCGTCTCTGTTCTTAGACTTTCTGACTTGCAAATCAGGCTACTGTATGACAAGTACGATAATACTATAAAACATGTTGCCTCTACCTCCCATCTCTCCTAGCTATTTACTCCTTATCTTGACACGATTTAGTCCACTTCAAGTCACTTCATCATATCCTAGGCTACCCATAAACACCGCCACCATGCCTCACTTCAAATTAGAGCCACAGTACTCATTATCCTGGGCCCAACGCATTTGTGACCGATTCCGGCTCAGGCAGGGGAAATATGAGGTCCCTCTTCTGAAAGCTCATGAAGGAGTAACGGCGGTCCCCTTGGATACACTCGTGCCAGAAGATTCAGGCCTTCCAGCACCACTTGAGCCCCTGAAGTTGGGAAGTCAACAAAACCTAGGGTCTCGACTACTGCAACTTCCACCAGAGCTACTGCTTCACGTCGTGCGCTTTCTGCCGCATAGCTCTCTTTACATGCTGCGCCAGACCTGTCAGACCCTGCGCGAATTAACTGCCGACTTCGAGTTTCACGATTTTCATTGGGACATCCTGCACTTTACAGAACAAGGCGTCTTTAGACCTACAATCCTTGGATCCACGTGTGAACAGCTTCGGCTCATCAAGCGGACCTTGCTGCGAAGGTCACTATGCAAACACTGCAGGGATGTATTTGACTCAGGCGAGCTGGAAAGGCGACTCCAGAGACTTTGGCAACCTATCCGTTGCGCTGGATGCAACCAAAACCACCCGGAACTTCTTTTCCCGCAGGGAAATGAAAAAGGCAACATCTGTGTGGGGTTGCTGGGTCACTTTGAAATTTGCAAGCACGTCAAAGTCTCGGCAAAGCTGCAACCGAAATATAACGAAGGAATGTACATTCGCTGCAAACATCCCGATCATTGCTCTGCGAGTAGTCGAGATGTTGAGAACATGTCAGACTTCACGAACTATCAGCCTCGCATTCGCACGTCATACTCAGGAGACATACACGCCATCCGCTACGTTAACCTTTTCCCAGTGGCCAGGATCAATCAGCGACAATTCCCGGGAATGCCAGCACTGCAGCAGTTTCTGCTGAAACAATTCAAGGAAAAGGGCGTTGAGGGATTGTGTTCACATGCTTCAACACAGATCGATTCTATCGTGTCGTCTATGATATCAGACGAATGCAATTGCTTCCCTGCTACCGGGACTCCGGTTCATAAACTTGAGGCTCCATACGGCCCAGGCGCTAGGTGTCCGAACCACAGCTATAATTGCCGCCATTGCGGGGCACATTACCTTTGGTTCTACGAGGGCGACTATATTGTTCTTAGCCATAAGTTGTTCTCCAGGAACACCGGCTCGGATAGCTTTGGGTGGCTTTCCAACCTCACATTTGATACGGACGAGCACCCTCTCTTCAACGACAATACCAAGGGTGTGCTCTGGTGTGATGATCCATCATGTGGCACAGGCTGCGGAACCCGCTGGCTTTTAATGGTTGAGATACTGAAAAGAGCTTCACTACGCCGTCACGGGGGATTCGACCAAGTTCCTCTGCGGGATAGATACTCTGCGCTGAAGCTGCCATTTACATTGGAATATCAAGTGTTCCAGGAGGCTGTGGAATGGCCCAAAGATCCAAACATGCTATCCATGGACCTTATGTTTCCATTACCTCACTAAGCTTGCTATCTGGTATGAATACAGGCTATAGGAAATAGACCTGACCATTCGATTGTCTTCGCGGCTAAATGACACATTAGTTGGCCATGATAAGGCCCTCGACCCAGGCACTGACAGATACCCCCTATGTGATGCTGCACTTCTCCCGCCCCCGGAAAATCAGACCTCTCTAAGTGATTCAGCATTCCAGTCCCTCCCAAAGATTGGCCCATCACGGCTCCAAAGCACCAAGACCATCCACATAAAATCGGTAGCTATTCAGTAATTTTAATATCGTTCCCAAGCGGTATACCACCATCTTTGGCGAGTCTCTGATTTCGCCATGCCCAGGCCTTCGGAGACATCTAAACGCTGATTCGGTAAGGAGGACTTTCCCGACCAAAATGGCCACCATGTTAGCCATCGTTCCAGCAAGCCATCCATTCCAGCTCAGTGGGCGCTCGGTTCAACTCCACCAACTCGATCGAATCCTCCTCTACACCAAAGTGTCAGTATCTTTACCAAGTACCGTTGCGTATCTTCATACCAGTCTTTCGGCCTGTGACCTACGCGACAAACTCTCGGCCAAACTTCACCAAGCAGCCCCCCATGGCCAACAGGCCAGACAGAGCTGTGGCCACCTTGGCCTCGATATCTAAGGAAACTATCCCTGGTGATTGTGGTGGCGGTGGCGGTGGCGGTGTTTGTGCTGGTGCCTGTGCTGCAGTAGACGAGTGTCAGTCTGGTCGAGAATTTGGCCCGTTGAAGCAATTGATTAGCGCGCAACCTACCTCAAAATACTTGATGAAAAGTCTGTCACCGCCTCGAATGTCCCAAGAAATGCAGAGCAGGCACAGAGGTTCTTGAAGCAGGTTCTGGTGGTCTCAGGGTTGGTTGCCTCTTGTGACGGAGACGATGGCGGTGAGGATTGTAATCGTGACTGGAGACCTTGTTCTCCTTCTTGTTTGGAAGGGCTGTCATCAACTCTGAGCTGCTTCGCCTGCTACGGCAGCTTCAATAGGCGCCTGGGTAGGTGAGGTAGGGTATGCCCTGTTGGGGTGGTTGAGCTGATGGGGTGTCGGCGGGGACGTTGGGATTGAGAGTCCTGAGCCTGGTGATGAGGACGCGCGTAAATCTCTGCTCGTATCGACTTGATCCAACTGGCAAGGTGCTTTTGAGACTTCTTGCGCTAATACAACTGGTCTTGCGATGATGCTCCCTGACCTCCGTTCCCTGGCCCTGAATCCTCTTTCGATCTGCCGCCACTTCTTCAATCGCCCGAGCCCTTTTGATGATAAATGATTGAGCCTTGTAGGGGAGAGGGAGGTGACGGTTTTGGTGAATTGAAGCTTGGAGGAGAGGATAAACGTCCAGGATGTTAAGATTGAGACGAAAACATCTTCAATCACCAGGCATAGCTCCTCAGTCACGTCCTCCTCCACAATCAATCTGCTGGTTCCTAAGCCACGCCCCGGGGGCCGGATTCCCAATGATATACGATTGTTCTTCCTGCCGGCCTTGAAGACCTCCCAGTTATCCAGTCGTATGATGAAGCCACTCAGACCGAGGAGTACGAGCATTCCGCCTCTGCGTTTCGAGAATGGATACTGAACAAGGCACTGCCCAAACTTGGAAGATCAAGAGGAAAGGAGTACATGAGGGCTGCAGACATATGTCTGAAATCAGATTTCTAAGGGACTTCCACGGATGAGTTACAGCAGGCGTTTTACAAGAGCGTTGTGAGACCGATAAGTTGCTCTTGGGGGAGCTGAAGGGTGAAGCAGGCAGGATCAGTTAGACGTTGCACCACCAGTCGACGGTCAGCTACTTGGCAACAAAGCGAAAGATAATTTAGGATCTCGAGCCTAAATTTTAACAGAACTTAGGCAAACTTAGTATAAGTCTATAAATTTTCAGTAGACCTTAGGCTTTTGTCACCCTAAATTCATAATAGATGCATTCTCGTTCTTGGCGCCTGAGTGCTCAAAAATGGAGGTGTAGCGCTTTATCGCCCCTTGCTAGATAAGGATTAGCGCCCCTCGCCTAACTCGTCACATGTTGCCCGTTGTAGTCTAGCGCTGTACTACAAAGAGCAGAGACTTTTTTGCCCGTTATCAAAATCCTAGGAAGGTCAACAAAGAAAAATGCAGCGCCTTCGCCTTCCCATCAACATCATCCAGCACTCGCGCCAACTTCTTCCACTCACAACACTCATCGCATCACAGCAGATCACTCCCTTTCCGTCATTTTTCCTCATGGACGGCGGATCACGACGTCGCGGTGGTCGCGGCGGCAATCGACGAGGCTTCAGCTCTCGTGGCGGCGGCGGCGGTCGCTCAAACCAGCCTCGCACCCCAAAGATCAAGAACGAGAATGAGTCGCCTGATGTCGAGATGACTTCACCGTCTCCTGCGCCCGCGCCCCCGCTCACTGAAGATCCTACCTCGCGTCGCTTCGACAGCTTGTTGGAGAACAACAAGGTCAATCCTCTCATCGTGCGCACCATCACCAACGACATGAAGTTTGAGTTCATGACGCCTGTTCAAGCCGCCACCATGGATGAGCTTCTCCCCCCGAACCGCAGCGACTGTCTCGTCCAGGCGCGCACCGGCACCGGCAAGACCATGGCGTTTTTGATTCCTGCCCTGCAGACTATGATTAACCAGAACAGAGCTGCCGGCGATGGGATTTCACTGCTTGTCATCTCACCGACTCGTGAGCTCGCGCTTCAGATCTCCGCGGAGGCCAAGAGAGTTCTTCAAGGACTTCCCAAGTATCGCGTTCAGGTTGCTATTGGAGGAACGAACAAGGATCGTGAGGAGAGGGCCATTCTTGCTGGTTGTGAGATTCTCATCGCTACGCCTGGTCGTCTCCTGGATCACATGTCCAACGAGGATATCGTCTACAGCATGCGTAATCTCAACACTCTTGTTCTCGACGAGGCCGACCGTCTTCTCGACATGGGTTTCATGAAGGATCTGCGCGACATTGTCGGCCGTCTTCCCGATAAGACAAAGTCCGACCGACAAGGCATGCTCTTCTCCGCCACCATCGCTCCCCACGTTGAGCAAGTCGCAGGTCTCGTCCTCTCACCGGGCTACAAGTTCATCTCGACCATTCCCGCTGGTGAAGCCAACACCCACGAGCGCGTTCCCCAGTTCCTCGTCCAGGTCCCTACCTTTGCCGACGTTGCGCCCGCCATGGTTGGCTGTATTCGTGAGGAAGCTACTCGCGGGCAGGCCTTCAAGGCGATTCTTTTCGCGCCTACTGCTGCCATCGCTGATTTCTACGGACGCCTTTTGGAGGATCTTCCCGGTCTTCCCCCCGTTTCGATCCTTCACAGCCGCATGAGCCAGAACAAGCGCACAAAAATCACCAACGACTACCGAACTGCTCGCAGCGCTATTCTCGTTGCTACCGATGTCGTCGCTCGTGGAATGGACTTCCCCGGCGTCACCACGGTCATCCAAGTCGGTATGCCCGCCGACAAGCAGAGCTACATCCACCGTCTCGGCCGAACAGCACGGGCCGATGCTGAAGGCCGCGGAATCCTGATCGTTTGCGACGCAGAGGGTTTCTTTCCCAAGTACTCCCTCAAAGAAATCAACCTCATCGCCCGCGAAGCCGATCTCTCACCCAGCCAAGACGTCATCTCAGTCGCCGAGAAGATGGAGGACGATGAGAAATCCCGTGTTTACCAAGCTTGGCTTGGCTACTACAACAGTCACATGAAGGCTCTCCGCTGGGACAAGGACGAGCTCGTCCGACAAGCCAACGTTTACGCGCGTGAGGGTCTGGGATCACCTGATGTGCCCACTATTCAGAAGAGCACGGCTAGCAAGATGGGTCTGAGAGGTGTACGGGGTTTGAACACGGTTGCTGATCGACCTCGTCAGAAACATGGTGCTCCTGGTGGACATGGGGATAATGGACGCGGAAAGCGAGGACGCAACTAAGGTTATGACAAAAATGGCTGGTTGGGTTGGAGTTGGGGATATTACGACATTGCAGAAACAAGTGTATTTGTTTAGACATGATGAGTGCAGCATAGACTTTTTAGACTGGACATCTGAGATGTCGTGATGATCAAGACCCTGTTTATGGTACCATGCTTTGCTGAGATGCCAACTGATTAAGCTTGAACTCTCTCTCTCTCCAGTGATCTTCGCCGTGTCGCACGCGGAAATAATAAATTCTTTTTTAAATGACATTCTTTCGTTAACTTTGGAATAATTTAATACCAAATTCCGTGTGGATACAGTACTATAGCCTGACGCTCTACCCTGCAGTGCGAGAACCGACCCGGAAGATCAATGACCCGCTCTGATGAGGATGCCTGTTGAATGCTGGCGATGCTTACCACCTTCACCGTCACGCTCCCGCCGTTACTTCAGATCAAGTATCTATCTTGTTTCGATTCATACGCGTTCATTCTATTGTATATTTCCCCCGCTTGCTATGAAGCTTATATGAGGCTATCGAGCTTCTAGCTTTCCATATCAAGACTTAAACAGTAAGGCTCCTATAGTAAGCCAGCATCTCCGAACTCAACATCAAAGAAGGTTCATCAGCCTTGGGGGTGCAATTACTGCCTTTGAGCAAGCAGTATAAATACCCCTTACCCCTCTCTCTCCTTCGGCAGCTATGTCAGGTCCCTTCCTCCATCCCACCAAAAAGACTGAGGTAATCGTGAAGCAAAATGGATCAACAGCGGCTGATAACCGAGTTCTTTCAACCAAACTCTCCTACCAAACAAGACCATGCAGCCCAATACGGAAGTAAAGCGAGAATTGCGCCGCCACGAAAAAGCGAAGCCGCATCGCATCACAATATCGAAAGTGGCACGTCCCAGCTCCTCACCCTCCCAGCCGAGCTCCGTCTCGAAATCTATCGCCATCTTCTCATCTCCAAGAACTACGCCGAACTTTACCACTGCAACTCTAAAATCTCCCGTCTCGTCCCTATACAACCAATGATGTGCCACCTCAAAATCCACCCGAAATTCTTACTGACTTGTCGGATCATCAATAAAGAAGCTACCCCTGTCTTGTACTCGGAAAATGTCTTTCGGAGGCGTTATGTTTGGCCGAGCCGCTATGTTGCTGAGCAAGTACGCAGGATGTCGCCTTTGAACAAGTTCAATGTCACTTATATCTCACGATTACACCTTTTTCGAGATTACAATCACTGGTTTTGTGATGGGGAGCTCAAGATCTTCAATGAGGTTCCGCATCTGAAAGATCTTTATATTCAAATTGATCTGAATAACTTCCCTGACGGGGTCGACCTGAGCGAACTTCCATATCGGACCTTGAAAGCAATCCCCCCAAAGCTTCGGTCCTTCAAAATGGAAATCCTTCTTAATTTCAGCGAAGAAGCACATTCAGACTGGCTAGCCAAATGCGGCAAAGACCGCAAGACGGAGAACTTCAGTATTCATCTGGACAGGAAACGTGCGCTGGAGACACGGTTAGAACACGAGGGGTTGTTTACTGATAGATCACTTTTCTGGACTTTCAAAACGATGCGCCACGAGTGGGGCGTGTTGCCGTGTTCCATCAGTTTTGCTTTTGATAACAAGCGCAAGGAGTATGAGTATATCGATTTAGAAGCCTGGGATCATGGTGGTAACGCCAAGTTTGGGCGGTTGAAGACTTCGGAGGAGAATGCGAGTTCGTTGGTTTTAAGGGAATAAGCAAAGAAAATAAGACATTTTCTAATGAAACATCGTCGAGCCGTCCCCAAGATTTGCAATGGCGTAGACGCCACAGTCAGCTCCCCGTCTTCCCCAGGTCATAGCGTAACAGGGTACTCTGTACCTGCGCGATCACTCGCCTGTTTTGGCATGGTGCAATGTCATTTGACTTCCCGTTGGAATGATGGGCGCTATAATCATTCCTCGGCTTGAGGGGGGACATAAAACCTTTGACTTAGATTTGGTAGAGGAGCAAGGGAATACCAGACTTTAGAAATAGGTGCTAAAATAAACTTGGCAAAGAGTTCCCTAAGCTTAGGCTAAATTGTCTAAATATTTTCATCACTTAGGATAAAGGTCCTTAGTTCTCCAGCCTACCCCTGGACGGTAGTCTTGTGTTTTCTGTCCGGTGAGACGGGATCGATCTGGTCCAGAATGGAGGGGCTAGACCAGGAACGTAGTTGGACTAATCTCAGCGAGGTCTCTGTTAAAACACTTTAGCCCCCGGGGATTATCTTCGTTATATTCCTGTCTTCCTGTCTTGTAGAGCCTTAAAATGATTGTGCAGAAGGTTTTGTTTATTCTCTGTTTGGCGGTGTTGGCGACGGCGTTTTCGTTGTCGGATGTACCATCTTGTGCAGTAAGTACTTACCTAGAGAGGTTTGCTTACTTCTTGTGTGACTGACGGGTGCAGATACCATGTATTCTCGAAACAATGGACTCGTCGGGCGGAACGAAAGCGAATATCAGATCCATGTGCGATAACCCGGCTTTCCAGACGGATGCGTTGAACTGTGCCACTGGGGTATGCACTTCGCAAGAGTTACAAGGTATGCTGGCTTGATGGATTGTTGTTGTGTTCGGCCGCTGACACCATGCAGGCTTTTTTCAGATGGGAAAAGAGCTATGTGAGATGCCGATGCAGGACAATCGACAAGAGTACCGAGCGGTCATTGCTGTATTTGCGGCGCTATCGTTCTTGTTTGTCATGCTGAGGGTGGCAGCGAAGATCATCACCAAGAATACTTGGGGCGCTGATGATACCTGGGGAGTCGTCACTTTTGTATGCTGGCCCTCGGTTTGCGATATCTATGCTGACGGTGGACAGTTCATTCTTATTCCATTCACGGTGTTCACGCTACTCGGTACGGCCTGTTCATGCTGCCCGTCTTCCAGCTAACGATTTACAGCTATAAAACATGGCGTTGGACTTGCTACGCCCTTGTATACCCAGGATGACCTGTCTCATGCCCTAAAGGTACTTCAAAAAAAGTTCACATTGAGAAAATTGCTCTGATCAGATGTTTCTTGCTGACGATGCCGATGTAGGAGATCTTTATCCTTCACCTTCTCTACGTATGCGGTCTTGCAGCGGCCAAGACGTCGATTCTTTTCTTTTACCTACGAGTCTTCCAAGGTACTACGTTCAGAATCCTTGTCTGGATAACACATGTCTTCAACGCCTTGTCTACTGTCGTCCTGCTCATTCTCGCCTTGACACTAGGGCGGTCTGTGACTTATCTTCTTGGAGATACAGAAGATTCGGTGTCCAACCTGAATAAGTACTCCAACAGCATCAAGATTGCCTTGGCGCATTGCATCGTCAACCTGGTTCTTGACATATGGATGCTTATCCTGCCAATGACCCAGATTTATAATATAGGGCTAAAGCTCAATAAGAAGATCAACGTGATGGCTATGTTTGGCCTTGGTATATTGTAGGTTTACTGCACCATCCTGGCGATGTGGATAGGATATCTAACGAATGGCAGCCTTACAGTGGCCAGCTTGGTTCGTACGATATTTCAGTCACAGCTTCTCGCTGATCCAGAAGAAGCGCGTAAGTCCATCTTGTCAAGTGGTACGTCAAATATCACGTATTGACCAGCATTAACAGAGACGGGTCAACAACAAGTGGTGCTTTGGGCGTGTATCGAGACATACATGGGCGCTATAGTGGCCTGCGTGCCTTCAACACGTCAACTTGTGATGAAGGTGATTTACAAGATGAGGAAGCAGAAAGAAGGGCAGTCAACAAATAAGCCGATTTTCATCGATAGGTCGTTGGCGCCGATACCGGATGAAGACGACATGCCGACGTTGAGTGACGTTGGGGGACTGACGACTGTTACAGTCAGCAGTGGACAGACGGCAGTGTCGGGGACGGAGTATGAGAAGCAGCTTATTACTAAGGCAGATCGATGAGGCTGTTGGCAGATGAATGGCGAGCATTGCATACTGAAGAGCGAATCATCTTCTTGGGCATTAGTTTATGATAGCGATTTAAAACCATGTACCTTGCACAAAAAGTCAGCAGACATGAACGATCGTTGGTTTTCCGAAACGCCGAGCCATGTCCATCGGAGTAACGTCAGTTCCGTGACACCAACTCTCACAGAAGCAAACAATCTGACTCTCACTAATTCCAGATTAATATTAAAGTAATCTTGGCTCCTAAACAAAAGCACTAAAATTAAACTGTCAACGACCAAACGAGACAAAGCGAGTGAGCGAGGGTGGATAAAGTGCAAAAAGGGTCGGAAACAAGCATCGTCATTATTTTAGATCCGCCAATCAGCGAAGGATTCAGAAAACTTGGCACATGTCTATGCAACTGACGTCACTGGCTGCGGGAAATATGTATTATGACAGAGACAACGCGGGTTAAGTTAGTTAGTACTCATGGCCACGTATTAAGCGGTGTGCAACCCATTGAGACGGAAATGCCATCATTGTGTGACCCTCAAGACCCTGGATCGGGATGAGACATATTATGCGCCCATGATCTGCAACTTTTCTTCTTTTGTTGAATGTCTCGGGTCGTTGGGCACCAAACCTACGCACTGATCTCATGCACTGGTAAAAACAGAATATCCTGAGACAAACAAGTCAACCAAAACAACATCAGCAAGATGAACTACGCCAACATGATTGAGGAGAAAAACCTCAAGGTAATTACTCCATCTTTGTCCTTTCCCTTGCGCTTTATTAATGTGTTATTCTGTAGAAAACATTCATCATAGCTACACTATGCAGCACCCTCGTCGGAACATTCACTTCCTCAATGGGTCTCTGGGACCGCGTCAAAGAAAAGCGCAAGCAAGCCAAGCGCGACACGACCCAAGACAAGGAGATCAAAAAGCTCAAGGCCCAAGTCGAGCAAAACTCCCGCGCCCGCGACGAAGTCGAAGCCTCCTTCCAGCGCTCCGGCGCCCTCATCAACCGCGAATTCGAAGACGGCTACCAACGCTACGGGCAGCGCTTTGCGATCGGCGATGTCATCACTGAGAATAAGCTGCAGGCGCAGGTCATTGCGCTGCAGCAGACTGTCATCACCGTCCTGCAGGATGCGGTTTATAATGGACGGCAGCTTGATAGGGCTGATATGGCGAGGTTGATAGCGGCGAGTGATGCGGCGAGGGAGGGATCGCTTGGGGCGTTGAGACAGCAGAGGGAGAGGCTTATGGACTTAGAGGAGCCTGTGCTGCCGAAGGCGTTACCGCCGCCGAAAAGGGCATCGACTGTTATCAAGGATGATCCTCTTTATTGTCGCTACGCCCTCGATCTGCAATACATACCCGAACGACCCCTCGCATCGACATTTGAACCGCGGGGCGATTGTCGCTGTCCAGCATGCGATGTCTTTCTCGACGTTGAAGCAGACGATGCATGGGCAATTGGAAAGACAGCTACGCGCGTTATCACAGAACAAGGAGGTTACAAGCGCGAGATCGACGAAGAGCTCGAGTTCCACATCAGCCCACGCTTCGTCATAAAGTGTCACACCCCAGAAGGAGAATTCGCCTGTGTTCTCTGCTCCCGCTTCCGCGACGGCGATGTTCTGTGTCCGAGCGCTGATACGCTCGTCAACCATATCGGGCGTGAACATACTGTTGCGGAGATGGAGAGAGAGCCGGACTTTGAGGTCAGGTCGCTCGATCTTGACAAGGTTAGGCCTGTTGATATGAACAAGAGGATCATGCCGGCGAAGAGCGTTGGGTCTGATAGGAGAAGCTCGTCGGGGAGGAGTGTGGTGTCGGGGAGGAGTGGGGGGAGGAGTGTGAGGGCGATGAGTGTTGATAGGAGGAGTGTGGATAGACGGAGTGTTTATTAGGGAGCATTAGCATAGCGTGTCTTAAGCGTAGCAGATTGCAGATTTAATTAGCATCACATATTCCATGTATTCTGTACTCGTTCGACTGTGTATGATGAGAGCTTGCGTGATTAGGGACGTGGGGGACCTGCAAGACTGCAGCGCCGATCTTGAGGCCCAACCGTATGAGGGCATTCAGGGATCACCCCATCACGCCTCACTCTTTGTATCGCGCGGTTTCCTTTCATCCGAACCGGGTCGCGCGTTCACTTTTCACGTAAAGCCATAACCGGATTGTGAAGTTGACTGCTGATAGACCAGCTGAGTTAAATTTCTCTCTAATAACGCCAAATGCTCATAAACAAAATCTAACCTGAAAAGTAACCACTTGCTCCAAAGAAGCCCATGCCAATTACCCATTACACTTCTTCAACAACCCTTCAATCTTACTCATGACCTCCGGAATCCTAAACGGCTTTGAAACAAGATCATCCATACCACTATCCAACGCCATCCTAATCTGTTCATCCCTCACATTCGCCGTAACCGCAATAACAGGAACATGCTCCGCAATCTCCCCCTCCCTCTCCAACCTCCTAATCTCCCTTACACACTGATACCCATCCATATTCGGCATCTCCAAGTCCATCAAAACAACAGACAAATCTGATCCCCCAGCTTTAAAGAAATGTGTCTTTTTGAGAAACTCCAACGCTTCAAGCCCGTCATTAGTTGCACTTACAGTGCAGCCTGCTTTGCGAAGTTGGTTTACTAGTACTTTTTGGTTGATGAGGTTGTCTTCGACGACGTGCACTGTGAGCGAGCTGGGGGTGAAGACGGCGGCGAGGATGCTCTCGCGACGGGTTCGGGCGGAGGGCCTGGGGGATAAGAGGTGAACGGTGTTCTTGGAAGGATCTGTAGTGGATGGTGTTTCGGAGGGGCTTGGCTGAGGTGAACTTTGCTCGTGGGGAGGTAAACATCGTCGAGCTTGGATGTAGAAACCGAAATCACTGCCTTTGCCGGAGGTAGACGCAACGCCGATTCGACCGCCATGTAGCTCTGCCAGTCGTTTCGATATAAACAGCCCAAGGCCACTACCGCCGTATTTGTAGTGTGTCCGTGGGCTCGCTTGCTTGAATCTCTGAAACAGCCGCTTTTTCTCGTCATCTGTCAATCCACAGCCTGTGTCCTGCACTCTATACCTCACGTATAGACCCTCTCCAGAACCCCATTCATCAGATCCAACAACACTCCCAATCTCACCCCTCGTAGGCGCAAACGCAAAGCCAGGAATGTTATTAATCTCCGGTAGATCCTTCGACACTCCAACAGCGACCTTTATCACGCGTGTTGCAGAAGTCGCCGTGAATTTGATAGCATTGGTCATGAGATTAATAAGGATCTGGAGAACACGACTCGGATCCATAGCGACCCAATCAACAGCTAGCTTCTCAAACTCAGAACCGATGTCAATCTCAAGCGTGATGTCCTTCGCCAGCATCTCTGACTCAAACATCTTGACAACTCTCTCAACGATAGCTTGCGGTTGACACACCACCGGTGTGATGAGCAAAAGATTAGAATCGAGTTTTGAAACGGTCAGGATATCGTCTACTATTGACCTCTGGTGCTGAACGCAAAGCGCTATTGTTTGTGATGCATCGAGGCATGATTCAATAACATCCTGCGACGCTGCGATTCCGTTGGTGCGGCATGCTTGCATCGCGGAGGTGATGTCATCTGCGCACTGAAGAATGGCACTCAGGGGGTTGCGCATCTCGTGGGATGTTATGTCGATGAATTCATTCTGCTGGCGTCGTGTTTCCTCTGCTTCTTGTAATCTTCTGTTCTGCAAACCTTGTGCCCACTTGAGATGGGATATATCCGTTATGGAACCCATGATGGAGCGCAAAGTTCCGCTGGGGGTGATTTCGGGATGCGCTGTGACGAGGACCCAGAAGTCGATGGGTTCGCCGTGGATGTTGACGGGGTTTTCTAAACTTTCTCGGAGTTTAACTTCTCCTGACCAGGGGAGCTGATCCTGCGTTAAACGATGCCATCCTTCTTCCATGATACTACCAGAATTCTTCATGAGATCAGCCCATGACACATCACCCTGGGTATCCCGACTATGACCCGTCATTTCGTAGAAACGGTCATTTGCTTCGCGGAGAATACCCTCTGGACTGGCCAGAAACATTCCCAATGGTGAAAGCTCTGTCATTCTTCGAAGACGGCTTGCTTGCAGGTCCAACTGCTGCGTGAGTTCCTCTTTCTCAAGGGCTGCTGCTTCTGCTGCATCGCGGCCCCGTCGTGTCTCGTCTTCAAATAGTATCGTCGATGCTAGCGACGTCGCGAGTTGGTTGTTGAGAAGTGTTGCGAAGGAAATATACCCCTCATCATATGGTCTTCGAGGGTTGACACCCAGCACGAGAAACGCCAGCACCGTATCGCCATTCGTAGGTCGAACCGGGAAGATAATCGCCTCTGTACCAGCCTCCCCAAATCCTCGCCACTGAATCCCCTGTAAAAGATCCTCAGGCAACGTTCCATCTCGTATCCTCACAAGCGTTGGCTCCCTCGTCCGCATCGCCTCTCGAAACGAAGGCACAAATCCCTGATAACTCCTCTTGAGATCAATCTGCTGTGGCGCAGCATCATGTCCAACCGGTATCCCAATCGTTCCCTCCAAATAACATGACTTGCTTGATATGGTGCTCCCAGATGAACTGGACTGATGATCTGCTTCTTCAGCCTCGCCGACAGAGTACAGCAGTGCAAACGGGACATCTCGGTGGTTATCCTCAAGACCATCCAACACCGACTTCCAGAAACTCTTGATACTCGTCGCCTTCCTCAAAGACTCACTGACTTTGTTGATAGTCCCCATTCGTCTCTGACTCAACACCAAGTCCGTCGTCTCAAACGGCGCATTGTAAAAGCCCACAATCCTCTCCGTCCCACCATACAACGGCGTAAGCGACCAGCAAATATGCGTCTCCTCCAAGAACCCCCTCCTAAACAATGCCAGGTCATTATTATCGCTTCTAAAGCTCACACCAGTCCTCACAACCTCTTGCAGCGCCGGTCCAAGAACATCCCAAGCTTCAGACCAAGGCCCCGACGCTCCAGTGCCGAGCATGGACGGATGTTTGTTCCCAGCGAATGCAACAGCGTACGCTTCATTATAGAGCATCGTCATGTCGCTGCCCCAGAAGATATTCGCAGGGTGAGGATTGTTGATCACAAGATTGGCTACTTGGCGTAGTTCGGGGGACCATGAGGACATGGGGCCTAGGGGTGTGGAGGACCAGTCTATGGCGCGGAGGAGGCGGATGTACGGTGATAGGAGACCTTTGGGGTTCGTGACTGTCCAGTCTGCGACGGCTTTTTCGGGTTTGCCTAGGATGATGGAGCCGCTGCTTGAGCTGCCCGTGTTACGATCCGAACTTCCTTTGGAGGTACTGCCCCGCCACCAAGATCGGAACGGGAATTTTCGAGGCGTAGATGCTATCAGCGTTGCTTCCGTTGGCGTCATCTCATGCGTCGTATCTTCGACGGTCTCGTCCTTCGTCTCAGGCTCCTGTTTCGGTGTTTTCGAAACCTCGCCCTTGGGGGTATCCTCGTCTTTCAAACTCGGCGTATTCGCTCTTGAGAGCGCACTCGACGATAAACTCGCCGGCGTATCAGGATGCTGCCAAAGTCGATTCCCACTAATCAACCTCCATCTCTTGCCAACCGTCGACCCCGTCCAAAGCAAGCCCTTGAACAAAAAGAATAAGGGAAACACATCCTTCGAATCATCCTGTTTCGTAATCCCTGTAGCCCATGTCTTGAACTCCCCATACTCACTCTCGCTCTGCTCGCCGCGCACGGCATCTAATAGTCGTTCATGAGTCGCGAGCGCACTGTTGCAAAACACAGGCTGGATAGCCTTTGAGCGCAGCGGTGTCTCATCGTCAGGATCTAGATCGATAATAAACGTTGGCCGAGAGTCTGCGTTGAGAATATCGCGAATGTTCAACTTGTCGAGATCATGTGCGATGTCGGACTCCATCATCAACAAGCGAATGTTGACGAAGCAAAGTTTGTGGTGTTCACTGCGGTATTATTTTGTGGGTTTGCCAAGGCAACATCAAGCCATGACGTTGAGACTAGCCGAGATGATCTTCATGAAACCTACGGCAAGTTACTCTATCCCCTGATGTCCAGGCCCCTCGTGATAACCTCACGACATGTATTCTTTTATGAATCTACACTGTCGATATGCAGAAAACAACATCGAACTTCTGATATTAAAGAACCATCCAATATGGCTAGTCTACGGCAAAACGCTTCTCGCGACAATGCAGCATGAAATGTCGGGTTGTACGTGATAAACAAATGATGTAACAGTGTGTGTTACGGGAAATAACCCTCGATCCAGGCTTTTGGGCCGACGCTAAGATGCTAGCGGCCCGATCCAGATCTTGGGCTCCGATTTTTCGATCGGGCTTTTCTTTAAGCATCAATTTTTGGGGGAGATTGATCCGTGTTGGAGATTTCGATGGGATTGTTTTTCCGATGGGAAAATCAGGCATCATTAGGATTCATCATCTTATCGCAATCTGGGGGATGGCTGAGATTGGGGGATTGGTAGTTAATTTTAGTACTTGAGGCTTGAGGTTCAGCTAAGATCGCATAAGATGTGCAGCAACAGGTTTACCATTTTGCTTCATGGCATCAATTGATATTTATCTAATCACAAACATTCTAATTAACGGGCATAATTTCGTCATATTTGACGCTTTAGATGAGCTAGACCCATCCTATTGTTGTAAAATACTGTGACTCCAGCCATCTTGTGTAGGGTATCTCAACAATTCATCTCAGCTCAAAGCCGTGTCAAATCTGGCAACAGCAACGTGGCATCCAACCCCCAGGATTTGTCCCAATTACTTGAACACTCTTAATCACTTCCAAGTGCTCGACGTCTCTATACCGCTCTGCTTATTCTTCTGATACTCATCGCTCAACGCTGAATACAACGCCTTCACCCTATCAACTTCATTACTCCAATGCTTCCTCTCATCCCCGTCCTCAATTTCGTCAACAAGATCCTTCACACTCTTCGCAGTAAAGAACTTATTCCTCTTGTTATACAACGCTCTCCTTCCAACGGCCTCATCACTCTCCCCCTCAGCCCGCACGCGGAAAACCTCCTCCAGAATCTCAATATCATACGGGATAGCGAACTGATCACGACTATCCTCGTAGGTAAACAGATAATACAACTCTTTGAAGCCAGACCATGTGATTCCGCTCAAGCACAGACTGCAAGGCTCGTGTGTTGCGAAAAAGACACAGTCCTCGCGGGGATTGGGTCGAGATTTGGAATCGGGATATGTTTGCGTGTAGAATGTCTGGATGCAGTTGATCTCGCCATGAAGGAGTGGTGATGCGCGCTCGTTATTCGTCGAGACAGTCAGAGGTTTGAGGGTTTCTGATGAGAGGATTGCGGCGCCAAAGACTTTGCTGCCTGAGCGGACTCCATCACTCGTCAAGGGGACAATGTCGCGCTCGACCGTTTGAAGAAGTGCAGCGAGGATCTCTTGAGGTGTTTTGGCTGCCATTTTGAGTATAACAAGAAAGTAAAAGTCTGTCTGAGTTGAGAGGGATATTCGTCGTTCAAGTAGACTTTCTTATCTGATAACTCCTCCAACATCGGGGCTTCCCGATTGAGACATTCAAGGGTCCAGACCCCGGCACGCGGCGGTACCCGCTCTAGTTATACGCTCAGTGACATGCCATTGGTAGTGTCAGCCGTGTCAGTGAGTGTATAGCGGAAGGATTTGGCTCTGATTCAACCGTGAGATGAGGATGTGCAAGAGTGTGCGTCATGAGTGAGATTCGTAATTGACGCTTTACTGCTTGCAAGCGGTGAATCTGACACCTCCAGCCCCCCCGCATCATTGTCGATCCGAAACTGCCGGGAGTAAGCATGGCTTGAGAGATGAGGTACAAAAGGATGGACGATCGCCGTATGAAATGGCTGGACTATCAACTAGACAACGCCCTCTCACTTTCAAAGAGATAACTACAGCTCAATTCATCGACAATGCGTTTCGCTCTCGCTCTCTCATGGCTCCCCCTCAGCCTGGCCCTCCATATCCCCGAATCTCTCGACCGCCGCACCAAGCATAAACCCATCACAGACTGTTCAGCAGAGCAAGTCGTTGACCTTCTAAACCTTGAGCCCAACACCGAAAAAGGTTACTTCGTCCAAACCTTCGTAGACCCGACTACCGTCCCAGGAACCAATCGATCCGTCAGCACAGCTATTTACTATCTACTCGAAGGTTCCGCGGGACAATCTCTCTGGCATAAACTCGATGCTGCGGAAGTTTGGCACTATTACGCCGGTGCACCGCTTGTTCTATCTCTATCAAATAATGATGGATCTTGTACGAGGGATCATGCAATGGGGAATGACCTCTTCGGCGGACAGAGACCGCAGGTTGTTGTCAAGGCGGAGGAGTGGCAGAGTGCAAGAAGCCTGGGTGACTGGACTCTTGTTGGGACGACTGGTAAGTGATGCGATGATATTGAGAGAAGGGAAAGATGAACTAATGTGCGATAGTTGCGCCAGGGTTCGACCCGGCTGGGCAGGTTTTGAAGCCAGAGGGATGGAAGCCCAAGTCTTGCAAGACCCCCCATTAAGGTTCCCTTCAATTTGTGGCGGGATGAAAACCTACGAGACAACAGCGGGAATTCATCTAATTGTTCAATAAACAATTTTGTAGTCGGTAACATATGAGTGATCAATTTCTGGTGCAGTAATGCATGAGGTCTAAGTGAACTAATAATATGTACAAGAATTAAACAATGTGTCCCAACCGCGAGAGTGAAGGACATCCATGTACTCAAGAAACAATGAGTAACTCAACGAGAGAATCTAGAAAGCGCAGGCAAAGGGACAGAAACCGACACATGTGCATCATCTTTCCTCTCATCCGACGACGCAACCCTCATCATTTCACAGTCCAAACCACCATGAGCATCAAAGGTTTGAGGACTAGACTTATGCGTGCCTTTTGCTGAGTAAGTAGCGTTTCTAAAGGCTCGTACGAACCATGGCTTTCTTCCGGGCGCTTTCCAGGTCCAGTATTCTTTCATGTCGTAATTATCTGGCTCCAATCTCCCGCCTGATATGCGGACGGTGAGGGAAATCATGAGATTAAGAGCTGTGTAGATAAGCATACCGCTGAGGAGGCGTTAGCTGGGGAACTGTTCAAAGTAGAGGGTAACTTACGCGATAATACCGTAGGCTACGCTGTACGAAAATGGAACGAAGGCGATAACAACGAATGAGGGGAGGGTGTCACCGATATAGCGCCAGTTTATCTCAGTGATCTGACGAGCCATCATACATCCGACCTGAAAGTATCAGTCAACTCCGAGAACACGTCTATTTCGCCACTTACCAGAATAAGAGCAGGACCAGTAGCCCAAGGCGGCACAGATGAGAAGATCGGCCCAAACAAGATGGACAAAAGAAACAAGAAACCAGTAGTCATAGCTGTAAGACCCGTGCGACCTCCCTCAGCAATACCAGCGCCGCTCTCAATGAACGCTGTAACAGGTGAACAACCAAAGAGAGCGCTGATGGAAATACTGATTGCATCACAGCAGTAAGCGAGTGTTGATCGGGGGAAATCGCCATCTTGATCATCAACAACGCCGCGGAAACGGACCATTGAAAACATCGTTGCTGTTGCATCGATGATATCGACACTGGGCTTGTCAGTGGAGGCAAGTTTAGAGTGGATGAGGAACTTACTAGAGAAAGGTGAAGAGCGCGAGGGCGAACTGAGTACCGTGTTGGCCGACGTTCCAGTCAAGAGCGTTGAGGGTATGCTTCATGGGGTTGATGGAAGCGACTTTGCGGAAGAGCTCGAAACGTGAGTCTCCTTCTGGCGTGTGAGGGAAGTATGTAACGGCAGTGTCACGTCTTCCTCTGTTAGAAAGTCGGAGAGGCAGCAGGCTGGGGACGACTTACGGCCATGAGAGGATGGATACGAAAGCGATACCAATGACGAAAGCGTATTTGACCCGGAAGGCCATGAGATACGCCGTCAGTAAACCACCAGCAAATATCGCAGTCCAGAGCTTTCGCACAAGTCAGTATGTTTCTTCACACTTCCTCATCGACTCACCTTTGGACTAGTCATGATACCGCCCTCACACATCTGAGTATCCGGATTAATTCTATCAACAGGACATCCAGCAATCGCCAAAGGCGTCGCGTTAAACCCCCCAGTAATAGCACCAATACCTGAGCCGTACGACAGACCAATCTCAGTAAGGAACAGACCAATACCAGCTCCCGTTGCAGATTTTATAGTTGACGGGATGAGTTTGACAAGCCATTGTCGCATGCCTGTTAGTGCGAGGAAGACAAATATGAGGCCTTCTGTGAAGACGGCCGTTAATGCGACGCCGTAGGGAATGCTGCCTGAGCCGTTGTAGCCTACTACTTGAAAGGCGAAGTAGGCGTTGAGGCCCATGCCAGGTCTGGGCATGTTAGATGGATCAAGGCTTTGGAGATGGGGACTTACGCGAGTGCTATAGGGAGGTTGGTGAAGAGACCAAAGACGAGACTTGCGAGTCCAGCGATGGCTGATGTCGCCGTGACGAGATCTCGCCTCACCTCTGGAATCTCATTAGTCTTCTGCTTCGTGAAGTAGATATAAACTCACCCTCTTTACACATCACATAGCTATCAATCTTATCACAATCAATCCTATTCGTCTCATCACAAACACAAGGGCCACCCGTCTGCGACAGAATAGACGCCTACATCTCATCAGCACTCCTTGCCCAAGGTACTCTCCCTCACAAACTGCTTACATTGACAGCAATGATATACGTCATAGCAGCAAAGGTCGTCGCCCCAGCACGAACTTCTTTCAAGAATGTCGTCCCGTCGATCTCTTTACTCTGAAAGCAGATTAGTAAAAGGGTGCTTTGCGACTGGAATGAAACATACGTGACTACTGCCTTCTAGCCTGAATAACCGGCCAATGAAGGAGGTTGCGACACGCCTGTTGAGCCTCGTGGCTAGATCTGCCGCGTGGTTCTTCATGATTGCTTCTAAATTCTTTGTGCTCAGAAAACACTTTTTATCTTTACATCAAAGAAATTTCAGCACATGAGCAACTGAATGAAGGGTGACGTGAGATAATAACGTAGCTAACAATTGTTGACACCTCGCTTAGACACCTCGCTCTGCATAATTACGTCCAACCATTAAGCCACCAAATAGCATGTCCTGATCAATAAGAACCAAGGCTGCACACCAACTTCGTCCTAGTGGGAGTCAACGAAATCGGCCTTGGTGGGAAGTGTTACCCGGGTCGTTGGTGAGGCTGGCTGAGGAACGCTAAAAGCCACGCCAACCATGTGGTTTGAGTATCTAGTAAAAAAGAAACAGAAAAGTTAAAACTTGTACGTGGTTGCCCATTGGTCAGGTACGAGAGCGAGATTGATAGGGTGAAACTATTGATAGGGTGAGAGCGAGATTGATGGGGTGAAACTTTCGATAGTTTGGTCAAGGGGAAGTTAATCGCGTGGTTCTCGTTTCTTTTTGATACATCATTTCGATCTGCCGATGGCGCATGGCGCTCCAAGATGTCAATGCAATCAGTACATGTGCCCCTCTGTTCCGTTAATCCAAGGAAATAACAAAAAGAAGCATGATCTGATGTCCTACCCACAGACCCCTGAGCTTGTACCAAACTGTTTGCTTACCCAAGCCACACGAAACTCAAGACCCAACAATGTGGAAAAGGTTGCGAGTGTTTGAACTCGTGGCAGGCTGACTACTTATCGAGATTCTAGGCGGGACTAGACTTGTGTTGGGTTGGGTTTGGGCTGGGTGATCACGGTCCCCGCAAATGGTCTAGACCATTAAGCCACGATATGCGAAAGTGATGCTTTGAGCTACTGCTTTCTCGGCATTGGCGTGAGGTATTTGATCAATGGTACGTGCGTTTCCCTTCCGCCTGGGCCAATTACGGTGTTTTTGAGAAGATCAAGGTGATTGTGAAACAGCACAGGGTGAGTGTTGAATGTACCTAGCCATCATCATGACTTGGTATTCATAACGATCAAACGACGAATTCAAACGTTAACAAACCGTATTGGGTAATCTCTCTGTGCAAGGCCAAAACATTGGCATGCTGTTTGTCAAAGCAAACAATGGCATCTAAGTTATGCTCGGCCAGTGCACAAAAAAGGGCGTCCGATAGCCGCAAGCCACTCCAACGCCCAGGCCGCATCGAGACCCAAGACATGAGGCGATCTGCCTATTCCCCTGCATGAGCCCAGTTAAGCTGACCTCCATCTCCCCTGGTGTCTCGGTGAGTCGGCTTCACGGAATATTACCGTTTCGATTCGGGTAAATCGTAAGCTACCCGCCCGTATTCTTAATCTCACATAGCGCCCTTCGCGTAGACAACACCCTTCTCTTCCGCTGGGCATACCGCATTCCCCAGGCCCTCTCGGATCTCTCATTCCGCCAGCCACTTTCTCGCTATTAGACTTCCGCAAATCCCATTCGCGACGAAAGGCTTCGACACTCTCCACATCAAAGACAGAGTTCAGCCTTGCATTCGCCAGCTGCAAGCCCGCTCGCCCCCTTTGACCCAATCCCCTGGGTATGTCTCTATTGTTTAATTTCGTATGCAACCCTCGTTCGATTCTGTCCGCCTCCCCCCCCTGTTCCCTGCTTCCCCTCATCAATCTTGTTGCCTTTCAGCTCAGCATGCATGACACCATGGTGCCGTCCTCATTAACAGAACCAGATGCAGCGGCATCAGAGTCCTCCACCCGCGACCGCTTCTACTCCATCCTCCGAAAGCCAGCATCGAACCTCGCCCTCCGAATCTCAGAACTTGATCGATACCGCCTCAACATGTGGGAGGTCAGTTGGGCGGCTCCCAAGGAGTCGCGAAAGGAACACCGTGAGAATAAAGCGACGAGCGGCAAATCTGCGACAAAGGCGCGATCGATCTTTAGTCGTGGATCGAACTCGTCGAGTGAGGCACCGTCGTTTGGGACCTTTTATAATAAACGAAAGAATGCTGAGAGGGGGAATGATTCTGTGTCGTCGACGTCTTCGAAAGCGAGCGCTGTAGCGGGGAATTATGAGTTGGAGGCAGATGAGGCTTCGACGTTTTCGGCGGGCAGTGAGCAGACGATGATTAATATGGCGAGGGTTGTTGATCTCAGCGCAAGGCGAAATGGGCAGATTCTCGAGCGCTCTCAAGGTTTGCGACATCGCGCGGGTGTTTTTGTTTCATACTAATGTTTTGGTAGAGTTATACGTTGGGGATAACACGCTTCTGGAGCCTCCTTCACCAACACTCACATCATCTTCTGCGCCGTGGGATACAGAAACCCTTGAGCGCGTCATCATACAGCCGTGGCCACTTATTCAAGCCTTGAGTGATGACTCGTTCGTCGCGCGAAGTACCGAGGCGACAACATCTCAGCGCACATCCTACGATACACCGTATCTCATCAATTGCGGCGTTACCATAATGGCAACACCCAGCATCAAGTCTAAGCATCGCGCTCGCTCACCAAGCACCCAGTCAGTCTTCGCATCAGCTCACCGCGAACATGTACTTACCTCATTCAGATCTCAACCTCAACGTCCACAGAGCAGTCGATCACCTACCAAAGCCAAGACCCCACGACGCATGCCATCGTCCACTGCGTCACTGCGAGTAGAAAGCAGTGATAATTGGCAGCCTCCCGTTGAATGGGCATGCACGCCCACTGAGCCCTCATTCCAATTCCCCGACGAAGCTGTCCCCGAGCCAGAAGCCATCATCCCCAAGGAGCTCAACGCGATGCAGTTGGGTGTCAAGCAACTTGCCAAAGAGGACAACATGATCAGACTTGTGCGTCTTGCTGAGTCGCAAGGTGTCAATATCCCACCAAGTCTGTGTCAGGATCTGGAGTTTGAGAAGATGCAGTGGATGCTCTCTGCCATGTTCAACATGGATGGACCGGGGTATTCTGAGATTAATGATGATGATCTTGAGGATGAGTCGGCGGATCCACCGAAGAGGATTCTTGCTCTCTATGAAACACCTGGTAAGTAATCTCACTCATGTACTCAACGCACTAATCGCACTCAACTAACATGTCACAGCTGTGACTTCATACCTCGCTGCCGTGAATCACAGCAAACAGGTCTACCATCTCTCCGCAGCACCCTTATCACCCGCTTCATTCCCAAACATCCACCCCGTCCTCACACCAGTGAGATCACCCTCCGCATTTCCCGTCGCCCCATCTACCATTGAAGCCGTTCACTCACTACGCCTTCCTCTGGCTATGCCCTCACAAGATATCCCAGCTCTCTTACGAAACATCCATCGATGCCTTGAGCCAGGTGGCTCATTACAACTCACCATCATTGATCCACTTCCCGTCACTAGCACTCTGGGTCCCCTTCTCCGCTCGTGGATTGAGGATCACCTTCTCTTCAATCTGGAAGCTAGTTTCCGCTGCACAAACCCAAGCAAGTTACTGCCTCTCTGGCTTAATGGTGCATCACTTCGTGTCGATCCCGACTGTATCGAGACGACACCATTCTTCGCCATTCCTCTTGATAATGTCCAGCTTCAGTATGTGAGAGACGGTCACATATCTGAAGAGGGATTGAGACAAGAACTTCGTAATCTTGTGGGCCGTATGCTATGGATGGAAGTTTGGAGAGAATATATCGTTGCTGAGCGTTGGTGGTGGGAAGATCCCGAGATTCTTCAAGAGTGTATTCAACATCAGACGATGTGGGAATGGAAGCTGATTGAGGCAGTCAAGGAAACCTAATAATTTCTTTTGTTTTGGTTGTTTATTGTTATTTTGGTAAGGATTAGATAGCATTATACCCTGGGAGTCCCAATGATAATTATAATTGATGGAAGTTTACCTAATCCCTGCGGCCTCTTTTCTTTACGCTTCTCGTCGACTTTGCCTAAATTACTCAAGCCCTAGCGCTGCCTAGATTCTTATGCTCCTCCAGGCCATCCATCTGCCTCAAAGTCTCTACCAGCCTCTCAATCCTTCCACTCTCATCAACAGTCGCGAAGAGAAAGACCTCATATTTAGATGGAGGTTTGTTAGAGAATTTTGCAGTGACAAAATGGCGCTCGGCGAGTTCATTGCCTTGGCGGAGAAAGTGCGTTATCTGGACTTTGATGGCTGTCGTAACCTGTCGCAGATGTTGTATATGCTCAACAAATTCGGGGAAATCTATGCGTTTTCCGTCCACAATTGATGTATAGTCTTGAGTGAAGAGGCCTTCGAGATCGGCTTGGGTGGTTTCTGGTTCGCCGATGAAGATACTCTCAAAGCCTTTTTCGTACTCTTCAAGAGACGATGTCCAGTCGACATGGGGTGGTGTAGATGTCATTTTTTGGAATTCGAAAGGACTCTTGTCAACAAACGATGCCCATTGAGATATGTGAAGGGATGGTTGGGAATAACATGAATGGCTGCAGACTCAGTTGATGTCTTATATGCGTAGACATCGCCGCGGACTTATCTCCGAGCCCCGCGGACCTCCGGTATCATCGCATGGATCACGGTAAACTATCAATTGTAAGCTCGGACGAAAGTTTGAAGGGCTATTATACTGCCAATCACAGAGAATAGTCCGAAAATTACTTTCCAATCACGAATATAACTCAAAAGGCGAATGCTGGTGCTGTTGTCGCATCCGCTCCCACTTGCCGAGGTTGGTGATGCTACGCAGCTACCCGGTAGTGCATCGCTCTATTTACTGAACAGAATATGCATATCTTCTTCAACAAAGTCATTTGCCTCCCCAGTATTACAGAAAAAGGCAGAACCTTTACATTCAGGCATTTTTTACCTGATAAGTGTTTTATTTCCTTTTTCCTTCTCCATTAAGCAAACAATGAACACATCGAAGTGCGAGGTTTCTGTTGAGCAGACAGCAGGACTCTATATCGAGACAGTAAATTTAAGGCCAGAAGACTACGGCGTGATGCCATTGTATATGAAGGCAATAGCTATATTAAAAAGAAACTCATCGATCTTACAGTGCTAAACATCTTGGCTTATTAAGTTGTTATATACAAGAAATGGTCACTCGAATGTAGCCATTAGAGCAGTACAGCTTAGTGGGTCTAGCGAGAAGACTAACGGCAGCCGATAACGGATTCCTGCCAATAGGCTTACTTCCAATGCGCTAGATTAGCTTTCTCCAAGTCTTGCACTAACAAAACGAACCCCACCTCCACCCAAACTGAAGCGCGAAGTCTGTTTAATCACTACAAACCCCCTCATCACTGCGTATTTCTCTACAACTCTGCCTCAATCCCATCATAGAGAGGAAAGGTCAGCGATAAACAGAAAGAATGCGTGTGCTAGGTCTTCTCGGCGGCACGACCTACAACGCAACCCTCCTCTACTACAAACAAATAAACGCCTACGTTCAAAACCGTCTCGGCGGCGGCCACTCCTCCAAACTCCTCCTCCACTCCTTCGACCACGCTGAGCTCTTTCGTTTCTTCCAAACAGGCAACTACAACGAAGTATCCCGCCAGATCTGCACCGCCGCAAGAAATCTCAAGTCCATCGGCGCAGAAGCCATCGTTCTCTGCGTAAACACGAATCATCGCTGGGCAGAGGATGTTGAAAATGCAACGGGTCTTCCATTGTTGCATATCATTGATTTTACGGGTGATGCAATTGTCAAAGCGGGGCTGAAGAAAGTCGCGTTGCTGGGGACAAAGATTAGTATGGAGCAGGACTTTTTGAAGGGGAGGCTGGAGAGGAGGTTTGGGGTCGAGGTTCTTGTTCCGAAAGGGGAGGAGGTGCGGAAGAGGATGGATCGTGTGATTTTTGAAGAGCTTTCTTGTAATCGGGTACTTCCTCAGTCAAGGGAGTTTTATCTGGATCAGATCAAGGACTTGTACGGGAGGGGTGCTGAAGGGGTTATTTTGGGGTGTACAGAGTTGCAGATGATATTGAAGCCTGGGGATGTCGATATGCCGATGTTTGATACTGTGGAATTGCATGCGACGGGAGCTGCCAAGTGGCAGTTGGAAGAGTAACAATGCCCACGGCTGCTTGATCATCTGATACAGTGAAGTTCTGCTTCATTGTAGCAGCAGACTGGAAAGAAATACTGATCGTTCTCATATTCATTTATCATGCTTTCGGCCGTAATGTTGTCTACTCTAAAAAGTCCCTCTTGCAATAGATTTCGCGCTAATAATCATCATGCCTAACGTCTTGGAGCTCTTATTTGTTAAGAATGGCAGACCAGTCGTACTTCTTGGCCCATTCCTCCCAGCTCGTCATGGGGCAGTCAATGCCAGCCTGTAAAGTCAGCATCCTTCCAAACTCTCAGAACAAAATACATACCTCTCGGATATCCTTCGCCTTGAGCAGCTTCATACCGCCATCGTACCCAGGATCAGAAGTATACGAAAACATGTATCCTGTCTCGATGCCCGCATCTCGATCAGGTGTCGCGGCTGTCATCTCATCTGGTGTCACTTGGCGATATTTGACAGGGACATTGTTGATACGGCCCCAGGTCTCAATCCACTCTGGCCATGTGCAGGTCGTGCCTTCAGCCATGTAAGCTTTGCCAGGGGGCATCTGGTACACGGCGTAGGTGAAGTTGCCTAGATCTCCTACTGGGTCGAGATGAGGGGCGGGGCTGTCGGGGGAGGTAGTGAAGGTCATTTCAAAGGTTCCATCGGGGAGCTACATCTTGTCAGTGCCGGCCCATGGCAAACGTGGAAGAACCTACCTTGTTCATATAAGAGTCGGGCAGAATGTTGAAGCTGGTGTAAAAGTATCCCGTGTGAATGCAAGACATCTTGGCCGCAAGCTCAGGATACTTCTCATCAACATACGGCGGAAAAACATCCGCCTTGCCATCAAAATGATACAACTCCTTGAACTTTCCTCCACTGCACTTCTCAGCCTGACTCAGCGTCGAGACCAAAAACCCATTATCATCCAGGCTATCAACCACTGTAGCAGCAGCATCGACAATGTTTTTGCCCTGTTGCACCTCAACATTGTACGCAAACTTTCGACACGAGATACCTTCTTTCTCCGCCTGCTCCCGACAATCTGGTCGGAAAAACGGCTCCCAGTAGTTGGTGACGCTGAAGATAACGTTTGCTCCAGCAAAGGCGCTCTTGAGAGTCGAGACGTCATTGAGATCAACAGCCACGACTTCGGCTCCAGCCGATGACAAGGCTTGGGCGGAGGGTGAGGCGGTGTTGCGGGTCAAGCCACGCACCTTGAAGCCCGCCTTGAGAAAGCGACGGGCGACGGAGCCGCCCTGGTTGCCTGTGGCGCCAACGACGCAGATGAGTTTATCGTTGGCCATTGCTTTGTTTGTTTGTTTGTCTGTCTTTGCTGGCTCTGTAATTGATGGAAAGAGGAGAAGGGGGAGAAATTCGGTGAGGGTTTATTTCCTTAGCCGACTTGGCTTTAGCTGGTGCTGCTAGAGTCTAGGCCCCCCTCTAAAAGACGGAGATGCATTCCTAGATCGATGTGACTAAACCCGTTCGAGCCCATCCTCTCGTGTTTCCCCAATCGTACCACGGTCCTGGGAATTCCCAATTTTCTGTGTCTGTCTCTCTCTCCGCTCTCTTTCTCTTTCTTCCGTGTGTCCCGCGCTTTTCCCCACGTGGCTGATTTATCTTTTCCCTCATTCATACTCCGCTCCAAGCTTGACATGACTACGGTTTCACATACCTAATAGTGCTTATTTGGGCCATCGCTGCTCCTTATCTTACCACTATGGGCTCTGAACACGATTCCAAACCAAAGACTTCTTCGTCGCCTGTAGCGTCTGGGTCTCCTCCACCCGTTACCACTCTGTCGGGTCCAGATCCTGGCGAGACGCGCCGATCGCCCGCAGATGACGAGAACCAACAGCCAGAAGAGCATGCGCCGCTCCAAGTCGATGTACGCTCTGACTCACTGACACACCAATTAATGTATCGTATTAATTGATTTTAGGAGGATGAAATAGCTGGCGATGACGCAGACTCTACTTATGGCTCTGACCGAGGCTCAGTCTACACGGCTTCCGTCACGTCTTCAATCTATGACTACCAGTATGAAAATGGCCGTCGCTACCACGCTTTTCGCGAGGGTCAATACGTCCTCCCCAACGACGACCAGGAACAACAGCGTCTAGATCTTCAGCATCACATCTGGCGCTTACTCCTCGGCGGCGCTCTACACACAGCACCTTTGCCTAACCCAGACTCATCCGAGGAATACCGCATTCTGGATCTCGGCTGCGGCACAGGTATCTGGGCCATAGAAATGGCAGACGAGTACCCCAACGCTACAGTCGCAGGCATAGACCTTTCTCCGATCCAGCCGGACTGGGTACCAGGTAACTGCATGTTTCACGTTGACGACTACGAAGATGAGTGGACGTACCGCGAGAGTGAGAAGTTTGACTACATCCACGGTCGGGCGCTCAGTGGTACGAGTGCAGATTGGATGAGGTTTTATCAGCAGGCGCTTAATAACCTGAAGCCAGGCGGATACATGGAGATGCAGGAGTATGATGCGTGGATCTTCAGCGATGATGATAGTTGTGATAGGGCGCCGTGGACGATGGAGTGGGTTAATAAGCTTGATGAGGCGAGCAAGATGTTTGGGAAGCAGATCAATGTTGCAAAGTATCATAAGCAGTGGATGATTGATGCTGGGTTCGAAGATGTCGTTGAGAGAGTTTACAGAGTAAGTTTTTATCTCACCGTTACATCGCTGGTTGCTAACTTTGGTAGATACCCATTGGTCCATGGGCGAAAGACCCGACGCTGAAGGAGCTTGGAAAGTTTGAGCTGACGCATATGCAAATGTCGGTTGAGTCGCATACACCGGCTTTGTTCACGCGCGTATGGAATTATTCTCACGATCAAGTCATGGTGTTGATGGAAGGTGTGAAGCGGGAGTTTCGAAGTCGTGAGTTGAGACTGATCACGAGTTATCGATTCATCACTGGACGGAAGCCAGCAGAGGCTTAGTTACGGGAAGATGTGCTGGTTGCATCGAGCATGGAACGAGTCGTTAGATCACGAAGCATGGGTAGTTGAGCGGGCGTTTGGATATAGGGGGGAATTGACCTTCTTTCAATGACTTGGAAGGTATGCGCCTCTCTGTATGACTATGGGGGTGACTGCTGCCTTTAACTCGGGATAACCGCTGCCTAAAGGCAGGAGCCATCCCCAATTAAAGGCAGTAGCTATCTCTATGGTAATATAGAGAGGCTCAATCCCTCTCAGTCATTGGACTTTGTTATTTGATTTGCTACGAGATCCGAGGACTAGCAGTGATTTGAACTACCGAAGATGGCCTTGGAGTAATGTTTGAGCCAAGAAAACAATCTGATCTTGACTTGTCGTTTCTCAGAGCTCAGAAGCTTGATCAAGAGCATGAGATATCAGCTTCTTGTACCCCTCAACAGCCTGCTCCAGATCCGAAACCTTCAAGTGCTCATGCGCAGAGTGCGCCTCGAGAATCGAGCCAGGTCCGTACAGATATCTTTTATGGCTCCCCTTGAGTCTCGGGATATCTGTCCCGTAGTTCAGTACTACAGTCTCAAAGCCTATCAAGTTAGTCACAGTTCCATCTTCTGGTGATCTACTTACCGTCAACGTCATAATCCGTTGGCACTGGTCCAATACCATACGAGAACTCAACGACAAGGCTCGGGTCACTCTCCTCAACCGCCTGACGTATTAGCTCCCTGATACCCTCTGGAGTTCCACCAGCGACTCTGACTCCTCCTGTAGCATAGGCACTCGCTGGGATGACATTTCCAGCAACACCACCTTCAATCCTACCCACATTGAGAGTAGTGTTCCCAAACTCTTTGCTTCCAGGCAACTCAATCTTTTGGAGAGCAGCTAATCCACGAACAAGACTATCAATAGCATTGCTTCCCGTCTCAGGGTATCCAGAATGACCAGCCTTTCCGTTTGCTTTGATAGTAAAGCCCAGTCCACCTTTGTGACCTCGTGCAAGTTTGAGTTCTGTTGGTTCACCAAAGATGACGGACTCCCAGGATAGACCTAGATCATTGACGTTGCCCATTCCCGGTCCGCCTGTCTCTTCACCCACCACGAACAACAGCGCTACATCGCCTTCACTGACTGCTTTTTTCTCAAATAGGTCTCGGACAGCAATGATCTGCGCTGCGACACTGCCCTTTGCATCGACTGTTCCTCGACCCCAGATCTCATCACCTCGCCGCTCATAAGGCCAGAATGGGGGAACAGTGTCAATATGAGACGTCACGAGGACTCTTGTGTTTCTCGTGTTATTGAAGTAAGCCAAGACGTTATCGCGGTTCTTGGCGACCGTCTGAGCCTCAACGGTGAAACCTGCATCATGGAGGTATGTTTTGAGAAAGTCAGTGACGTGCTTCTCTGAGCCAGTAATTGAGGGTCGCTCGACGAGCGACTTGTGTAAATCGAGAAGAGGTGACGAATCTAGTGACCCATGAGAGAAAGGGAACTGGACATTTCCCAGATTGAACGCCGTCGCCGCAGCGGCACTGAAGAGGATGGTGTCGAGCTTCATCGTCGATAACAATCTGCAGATAACAAAGAGGGGTAAAAGATATGAACCATCCAAACTGGGCCCCGTGTATCTTGATATAACGTTGATCGTCACAAATTGATAAGCAATTTTGAAAAGCCAATCAGTTTCCTCTTTTATCGTTGCACAGATGTCACCATTGACGGGCAGTATTTCCTCATCTGCCAAAAGCGGGGAGACTCAACTTCGGATCCGAGATGGCAACACCTTTTTATAGAAATACTCGCATTAGTTGTTGAGGTAGTATTGTTTGAGAGATAGTCTTGGAGATAACAGCTGGAGTTAACGGGTTGCGCGATTATATCCCTCCCGCACGCCAAGATGAGGAATGCCGATCGCGGATGTCGACATATCGTGGGGTGAGGAGTAGGATACACAAGCGAAGCGGCCAAGATTTATATCTCTATCGGCGTACCTTGAAAGATTCTATCAGCGAAGTCTAGGACAGACCATCGTAAAAATGACGTCTTCTGATATTTCTCCTAAAGGCCACATCGGCTCTCAAGGCTTTGATGAGAAGACTCATGAGCTTCCCGACTCTTCGTCCGGAGAGCCGCCCATCAAACAACACTACAATACCGTCACCCGCGGAGAATCTGTCCCGTCCTCTGACGATATAAACGACAATATTGTCGGTTATGATGGAAGGCTTATGGGAGCGCGGACTAGGTTGAGTAGCCAGCAGGAGAAGAAATTACTGCGACGAATTGACTGGCATCTCATTCCTTTGCTTTCGGTCATGTACATGGTCAAATCAATTGATGCTTCCAACGTAAGTGAAGTACTGTCTTTGATGTTACGGTGTTAATGTTGTAGGTTTCGAATGCTCGAATCATGGATCGCGGAACGCCGAGGAATATCATGACGGAGCTGAACATCTCGGCTGATGACTACAACTTTGTCACAATGGCGTACTATGTCTGTATATAAGCCCACGTCTCATAACTATCACTAACGTACTTGAAGATCCCGTATATCTTGGCGGAGACACCTTCCAACCTGCTGGTCAAGCGCCTCAAGCCATCAGTTTGGCAAGCAAGAATCATGGTTGGTTTCCCTATCCTATCTCTAAACCCCCCGTCTGACGGTTCGAACAGATATCCTGGGGTATTGTTCTCGTCTGTCACGCTGCAGTAAAGAATGCCGCCGGCTTGTATACAGTCCGCGCTTTTCTTGGCCTCTTCGAGGCTGGACTCTGGCCTGGTATGCTTCTCCAGTTATGCTACTGGTACCGTCCTGATGAAATGGCATCGCGTATTGTTCTTGTTACTATCCTTGGTAACTTTAGTGCTGTTGTTAGCGGTGTCCTCGCCTTTGCATTCAACGGTGTTCATGCACAGGGCTTGTCAGGCTGGAAATGGTATACGCCTCGCAAACATATCTCAAGGCTAAGCTGACTCAAGTTCTAGGCTTATCTTAACGGAGGGAGTATTCACTATTCTTCTGGGTATTTTCGCATACGTCTTCATGCCTGATTGTGAGTTCAAATCACCAATACAGCGCTGTATACTGACACCGGAAACAGTCCCGGATACAGCTCGCTGGATGACCGAGGAAGAGAAAGCTTTTGTCCAAGCTCGACTCCCCATCAACGCCCCTAGAGCCGCCGAGAAAGATTTTGACTGGAAAGAGTTCCGGAACACTCTGAAAGATCACAAACTCTGGCTATTTCTTCTTTGCTGGGCATTTTATACCATCGGAACAACGGGGCTCAACTTCTATCAACCGACAGTTATCGCAAATCTCGGCTTCACGTAGGTTTCCATGGAAGGCCTCTAAGAAAGTATGATCGCTGACATTGGTTTGCTGCAGTGGCATCGCGGAAGCTCAGCTGCTAAACATACCTCCAGCCATTTTTGCCTGTGTACTAACCATAGTATTCGGATGGGTCGCTAACACCGGCCGTTTCCCTTTGCCTCTCATCCCGCTGAGCTTCATGATAATCATAGAAGCATGCTACGTTGTTCTGTACACCTTCCCGAGCACAGGAGGGGTGTATGCAGCCACTGTTATAGCAGGGGGTTTCTCGATCGCTTGGTAGGTTAACACAATCACTTCTTCTCCGTGTTTCTAATAGATCTAGGTATACAATGATGTGGCCATGGAGAGTCCAAACAACAGACGGAGCCACCGGTTCAGCGTTTGCCATTGCATTTGCGAATAGTTATGGCCAGATTGGAGGCGCTGTTGGATCGCAGCTGTTTAATTCGCGCTTCGCACCCAGATACACCACGTCGTTTGGGATCGCGATGGGATTCATTGGTATGGCTATTATCATGAACGTGATCACTTGGTCGTTTACTTGGAAAGTGGATGTTGCGACGAGACGGCTCAAGAGGGCGAGGGATGCTGCTGCGAAGAGGAATGAGGCTATTCTGGATGATGTTGATATCCATGCCAAAACTTAGGCTCTGATAGCGACATGTCCACTCTGATCCTCGGCTACGAGAAAGACCTTCAAAGAACCATTAGCTATTCTTTGTTTACACCACTATAATTTTTAACATTACACAAGACTCTTCTCAAACACCCTGTACTCCGTCGGTCCAGCAAGCAAGTTTACCAAATCAGGATAATCATCCGCAAAATCCCCCAACTTAACAAGCTCGTACCCCATCCTCGTATACCACCCCAATAACCTTGCCTTACCCTCATGATGAAACGTCATCGGCACAAGAATCTCCAGCTGCATCGTCGTACAACCTCTTCGTCTACATTCATCTTCCGCAAAGACCGCTAATTGTCGCCCTGCACCAGTACCTTGGTACTGAGGGTCAAGCGCCAGCATGCCGAACTCTCCGAGGGCGGGTGTAATGAGTTTGATGAAGACGCAGCCGATGGGCTCGTTGTCGGGTTGTAGGTATGCCACAGCGAGTTGGCCTTGGCTTAGAAATTTGGCGATTTCGGTGGCGGTAGTTCGTTGGTATGATGGGATGAAGATATCGGACTCGGCCTTTGTGTAGGCGGTGTTGACGATATCAGTTATGGTTGAGACGAGAGTTTTATCCTCCGCATCGGAGGCTGGTGGTATTTTCACAATGATTTGCGGCTTCGTCATGTTGGGCATCGAAGTGTATTGCAAAACCAGTCGTATTAAGAAAGAATGCTGGGTCTTGGAAAGCTTTGAACACTCCTTGGGTAGTTATAGTGCGAACTATAATCTCACACGTCAGACTTTGTCTCACGTAAAACAGCGCAGGTGGAGAATTCCGCTTGGTCGGCGGCCCGTCTGATATTACGCTTTTGGGCAATTCTGTACGGCGAGCTTCGTATTGCCAGTAACACCGGCCGAGCACTATCAGGCTCGCTTCAAGACGCCCGGGCTCAAAATTCTCGAGACAAATTTGATCGAGAAATTTGTCAAATGAAGAGCTCGAGACGTAGATATTTCGTCTTTTTATGTTTCCAGTCCCTAGGATAATCAGACCTATCCAACCGAAGGTTCATGATCTGGCTCTCTCGTGGGCGATCCCAGCTGTTTGCATCCGGGTGTCAGCATGAGACACAGTGAGCTGAGGACATCTCAGCCACTAATACTAACCTCCAGTTTGATCATGCAATATCGTCCATGGCAAAATGTCTTCTCTAAAATGGCTAATATATCTATGCGCCTTCGCAAAAGCTCTTGGCAGGATCATCGATCTTATGAAGGTGCAATTCTTCCCTTCTCCATTGGCAAATCCGTCCCCCTCCAAACCTTTACCTCGTCTCCAGGCTCACATGTTCTCGCAACCCAATTCTCGACTCTTTCAACCCCCCACATAATTGTAAACATATTGACCAGCATTGGATCTACGTCTGATGCCTTTGCACTCAGAAACAGGCCCTCGCAATCGAGGCTACATATAAACAGCGGATCTGCTTTCCGACATGCTGCTGCCCATGCAAAGCCAGTTTTGGCTTCCCATAGGTCTTTATGAGCCGTGAAGTAGATACCGCCATGGCACTCAGCCCATTTCTGTTTAAGTGTAAGGTATACGCCGATGGTCGAAGTTGCCAATAGCCATATGCGCCGGATACTCTCCGACAACACCCAAGAGCGCCATTTCCGAGGTAGGGGATCACCGTCGAAGATCGAGTCTAGAATAATGCCGTTGGCAGAGGCTGCAGCTGCTGAGCTATCGCCACCATCGCATGGCAGGCCAATATCCGGGTCGCGAAGAGCCGCTTCCCAGAGTTGACGCGTCCATGAGAGAAGAGTTTGTATCTGTTGTTCCGCATTGGCTCGCGCGCTAATCGATGGCGAGAAGAGTGCTAGCACAAGATGGACGAATAATGCTTGAGTCCGAGACAGGTGCTCACGAATGCCAATCGTCACTTCAGGACCGACGAGGTCCGGGCAATATGCCTTCAGTAACGCCGATGTTTTCGACGCTAGTAATTCATCAATCACTGTCTCGTTCGCGGGTGTTTTTGAGTTATGCAGGATGATACAAGTGAATGCATCCTGTATTGATGGCGGCAGCCCCGCATCGGCGTAGAGCTGATTGTGTATGAAGGGGCTGTGAGAGTTGGTGACCCATTCGGTGAAGAACTCATGAATGCCGTGAATGTAGTTCATGCAGACAGAGTTGGGAAATGATGGAGTAGTGAAGGGAATGTGTCGGATGGCCCATGCCTCGGGTCTGAGGAAGAAGTCGACCGGATCCTTCTGGCTCGAGATTGTCTCACTGCTCGTCGAGGGCGAGTCGTTTGGCAACTCAGCAGCGGGGAGGGCGTCCCAATTGCTCAGGGTCGCCGCCCACTGATTTAGGTCAATCAAGCCATCATTTGGCGTTGAGAATGGTATTTGCATCAGACTCGGTGGTCCAACACTGAGTCTGCCAGCACTCTCTCCGCCATTTTCCGCTCCCGGCACTGACGAGTGCAGTCTCTTCCTCTTGGTCGGCGGATATCGGCATTCAACGTCTCGATCATTACATCGCCCGCAAATAGGTTGAGCTTTGTCACATTTCCGCTTTCCGTTCGTGCACGCGTAACATGCTTTAAGCTTTGTCGCAGAACCCATCGTGATTATGTTGATGCGGGAATATTGCGGATTTCTGAAATTGGCTGCGGGTGAGATTTAGGGAGATCGGACTAAGGTTAGCGACCTTTGTCAGCGTCGTGCGGAGATCTTGCGGGTTCTTGGCGGAATACCCTGTGAGATAAGCTTATCGTCCTGTAAGCGAAGCCTGGAAATTTAGCGCTCTTAGGGCCATCATGCGGGTTTCTATGGATTCACCCGCACACTTCCGATATGTCAACATTATGATATACTACTATCGCGACATGGAGATCGGTATATAATGGATCAATTTCCAAGTCTACTCTTTTCAATACTCAGATCTCATCATCAATCAATCTTCTTCAAGACCCGAATACCTTGCAATTACTATCCAATATGCCTTCTGCACCAGAGACTAGACCCGAGGAGAACCCTTGGGAGAATGTCGCAGCACCTACCAACGGCAGCAACCTTATTAGCAAAGTCCATCGAGAACCATACGAGTCAATCTCACCAACTCGTCCTGAACTTTCTCAGGCTGGCCATACTGTTCTCGTCGCTGGGGCCTCCACTGGAATTGGCTTCAGCATCGCCGAATCCTTCGCCACAGCCTCTGCGACTCGTCTCATCATCACCGGCCGACGCAAAGATGCCTTGGATAAAGCCGCTGACAAGATCAAGACGAAGTACTTCAATGTTGAAGTCATTCCGATTATCAATGATTTCGCTGATGAGAATGCCACTCGAGAGTTCTGGAAGAAACTTGCCGGAGACGGCATCTTTGTTGATGTTCTCGTGTTAAGTGCTGCGAAAATGTGGCTGCCCAACACTATTCTTGGACTTGGATATGAAACCTTCAAGGATGGCCTTGGGGTGAACCTTATTGCTCCGTATTTGTGGACGAGCTTGTTTTATAAGCAGCGAGAAATCGACCCTTCACGAAAGCTGGTAAGTCCACAAGCCCTCATGACATATGCTGCCCTCTAATCCTACACGCACCAGGTTCTCCTCAACTTATCCAGTATTGCAATCCATCTAACTCAACTTTCTATTCCCATTCCTCTATACTCAATCACTAAGAGCGCTGGGACGATGATGATGCAGCACATAGCAATGACCGTCCCCTCCAGCGAGATGCACATCATCAGCTTCGAGCCCGGACTCCACTATACCGAGTCATTCGAACGTTTCACCGATGAGAATAGTTTCAAGTGGGATGATAGTATGTATTGTTTCTCATGAGCTGAAAACTTACTGACAGAGGTGCAGTTAAATTGCCAGGCGATTTTGCTGTTTGGGCGGCGTCTAAAGAAGCCGAGTTTCTCCACGGGAGGTTCATTTGGGCGAAGTGGGATGTCGATGAACTCAAGAATGGACCTCTTCGGAAGAAAATTGAGAGTGACGCTTCGCTTTTCAGAGTCGGTGTCAGTGGATACTAAATCATAAGCACGGCATCAAGTTGGTTTCTCAAAGTCGTAGTCAGAATGAGAATCCCAGGCTCTTTGATACTAATTTGCTACTCCCTTATCTCCCAAGCGTGTTACGAAGTGAAATAGCCCCGAGAATGCCCTCGGCATTCTGATCCCTTGCTAGCTGGTCCCTAGACCTTTGTAAATCCCGTTGAGCCCATTCCATTTGCTTTTGGACTTTTGCTGATATCTCTCGCAATCTTTTTGAATCCTTGTGCAAGCAGCGGATAATGTCGGCAGCGAGATCGGGATTGACACTCAGCATTTCGCTGAACGCGTCCTGACTCATCAACGTTCCAATCCTTTCGATGGTAACCTCCACAGCGATGTCGCGCAATCTTCGGTCCCCGGGTGGCGTAGTTGTATATGCCAGTTCGATTGCATCTGGAAAACTATCCATCTCCCATCCCGCATCGATGCTGGTGCGATACTTCGTCGCAGCAAGTTTCTTTAGGGCCTCAATGTCATATTTATCAGCAATTTGATAGACCTTGGCATGGAATGTCATAGCTGATGAATCAGTCGGGGACTCGTAGTCGAAGCTATAGAAAAAGACAGTCATCGCCTTGACAACAGCGGGATCGAAATCCATGATTTCTATGACTCGCTCAGAACTTTCCTGCGGTTTATTAGTTATGGTTTATTATTGCGGGGGAAGAGTGCTTCTCAAACCTTCCATGGCCCATCGAGTTGCTTTTTGAAATACTTGGAGTGGCAAAAGAGAACAAGACTGTGGACTGCAAAGTCCTGTCCTCCGCATTTGATGACGGCGTCTGAAAGGCTTGGATTGTTGAAGTACCTGTTCTGTTAGTAACTGTCTCATCGGAGTGGTGATATAGAAACATACTTCTTCAAGGATGCGCTAAAGTCTTCAAATGGCGGTGACTGCATCTCTGCGACAGTGGGCATTTGGATGTGATGTATCCAAGGCAGAACAGACGGTGTAACTCTCAAAGAAATAAAAGAAGGAGGGGAAATGGAACACTTCGGTTTCTTATATATGCCTCCTCATTATCTGTGTTCGCAGCCTAAAGCTTAACCTTGTAGGTGGCAGCCATCCCCATGTACATATCCTTGATAAAGATAAGTCTCCTAATTAAGAACAGAGTAATATGCTTTTCTATTGACTCTATTAGTATCCTTATTGGCAGCAGCTGGGGTATAAGAGGCCTGTATATTTCATGTAAATCAAGGATCTAATTTATTGAGCAGTGAACGAACAAAAGTTTGTCTGAACAGTATTACCTATTAGTGCTGGGAGATGTACAAATAATGTGCTAAGTAAGACCACCAGCAAAAACAAAATAATATTCTGTGCTACCACAAAGCCCGTCTGGGACACGCCCAGGTTCATAGACACCGCGATTTGTAATCATCGAATCTACACAACGTCTCATACACTGCTCATCCCATACATAATCAACTGCGCAGCCTTATGCTTCCCAATGACTCGCTATTGATTCTGTGAACTTATCCCACATCCGCTTGGTGTCCCTTCCATCCCCTTGGTCAAAATCACCATCTCCTTTAAAGTAGTAAAGCCAATTTGGTTTCTCCTCCGGCGATATCGGTTGACAGCCGCAGACGGGACAGAAGATTGGCTTTGGTTCTTGATAGTCTGGGATTTGATCACCAGGGGAATCTATCGTCAATTTAAAAGCAGCCTTGCATAATAGACATTTGCAATAACAATACTTTTCCCAATTCTCATGTATCAGGCTGACAAGATCGGCTGAGAAATCTCCATTTATCCCCAGGACCCCCTTAAATGACGTCTCTGATATGAGGTACCCAAGGTGTGTGCACGAGCTCTGCACAACGATGTCTCTGAGGCCTCGGTCTCCTGACGGCGTGGTGTTATACACGATGGTGATCGTGTCGGCCAAGTTACTTGCAAACTCAGCGGTAACCTCGACTTCATAAACGACACGTTCGAATTTATTTACAGCTTGCTTTTTGAGTAGGTCGATGCCGTATTTGTCGCCAATTTGGTAAACCTCAGCGTGGAAGATCATAGGGCGTGTGTTGGGAGGAACGTCGTAGTCAAAAAAGTAAACAAAACGAAGCATAGCCTCGACAATATTTGCATTAAAGTCTTTAATTTCGATGGTTTTGTCATCACTCTCCTTTATTTGGTCAGCTTATATTGCCAGTAAGAATAGGAGGACTCACCTTCCACAGCCCAGTAAGCTGCTTTTTGAAGTAGTCAGAATGACAAAACAGGATAAGGCCGTGGACTGCAAATTCCTGGCCATCACAACGAATCGCGACGTCCGAAAGGCATTTGTTGTTGTAGTATCTGGATGTGTTAGTAAGCCTGTCGATAGGATAAAAGGCAGAGACACAAAACATACCCCTGTAAGGAGGCGCCGAACGTTTCGATGGGCTTGGGTTCCATGGTTGATGAGAAAACTAAACGATCGAGGGTTTTGAAAGGGAGATTTGGTTATTTAGAGCAGCTGGTAACCGTAGTATTTATATTCTTTTGTGACATGAAACGCTATTCTGTCGCCTTCTATGTATAAATTTGAAAGTGTCTATATTAGAATATAACTTTATTTAATGGCAATAATGAAAGTTTGTACACAGTAAAAATTAAATCTGTGAGCAATATTGACGGTCGAAGATAGTTCTAGCGACAAAGTTCCAGAGAGTCAACTCTAAGTAATGCATTGCAGTGCGTTTCTTAGTGTCTAACCAAACAGGCTTTTGAGTGCACAAAGTCAAAGTGGGACGGCATGTGCTGGTCTAATTCGAGTAGCGCGCGACTCCTAAGTTCTCTATGCTGATTCAAGCTCCCACCCACAAGCCTCAGCTGCAAATAACGTAACTTGCTCATGGCTTATAGATTAAGTCATAATGCCTAACTTATCGCGACAGAACACGTGGTCCGATAAAGATAAGATTCTCCTTTTAATCAATATAGTTCTCTTGCTCTCTGCTCGACCAATACGGCTGAGTTTATAGGTGTGTTTTACTGCTGAGACATGGGGTCTACAGCGGCAGGTACCAGTTTGGAGGCCCGTCACAATAGTGCAAGTTTCCATTTTCGGTGTGAGAACATGACTTCGGCTCCGATATGGAATGGCTGTTTCCAGTGACGATACGAAAATAGACAAGTTTGGTGAGATCGTTATAGAGATCCTCTTGCCAAGAGACCATGGCACGGCGCAAGTTTAGATATTCTTGATAAGGTTGAAGGTTTAAGTGAGGCTTCAGCCCCAAGGGCACAAAGGTAAGGAACACCGATATACACACACGGGCAAAATACTCGTTCTCCTTACTGTTGCCTAGGATCTTGCTTTTGGAAGTTTATCCTTCATCATTGGCCAGACTGCCCCAGCCCTAATAATCAGGAGGTCCCATTCATGGTTATCCACTGAGCGTGGAGGACTACAACTAGAGTCAAAAGCAAAGTGCTTTATAACGAGCCAGGTCCGTCCTCCAGTCCATCTACTGTCTTTCAACGTGGACCCAAAAATGGAGATGTGAAGCGAAGATCCGTCATTGGGGCTACAGCCGCTGCCTAACGCCATGGCCGCTGACTGCCGGCGAGGCGAAAAGTTTCTTTCTAGTAATGTGCGGTACTTGGATAAATCGGCAGATCATCACTTGGCAGCTGTGGTCGCCGCTTATCTGCAATTAAACGGGTGGAGCCCGATGTCCTGGGAGTAAGCTGCCAAGTATGGGGGCCAAGACTTCAGGAGAAAGCTTCGAGAAGATTGAGTGTAAGCTACTATCAACTAGTTCGTAGAATAATTCGACTTATACTAGCTAACGGTTACATAACGCCTTGTTCCTGTTATGCAAGTAGATGTGTAGGACATAGTTGTAGCTCTTCTTGACCAAAGTTTTGCAAAGGTGCTGACGTAGCCTCTTGTGTAACCACCATGCTTACTATCTACATTACTAGCTGTTGTTTCAGCTCCAGCCATTGATATCATATAGCTTACTGCTAATTTCGTCTTTACTCTTCGAAGCTGTTTACTGGCTGTTGATGTGGGCATATTGGATCGGGTGAGCAAGGAAGATGCATGATCACGTTTCATCCTGTCTTGTATCGTGAGACATCCTTCCAAGCTTCGGCAATTCTGAGTCCTTGGCAGCTTATGGGATGATCTTCGCTTTTAGAACAGCTGAAAGAAATGCAAGTGGGATTTATTGCCGAATGATGACTATAAAGACCAGGTCATAACCCTTCTGGGTCTCAACATCGCTTCTACCATCAACCGCATTCATTCACTCATTCAGCTATCAAATCTTTTAAGCTATTCATCAATACTATTCACCATGCTCTTCCAAAGCCTTCTCTCCTCTTCCCTTCTTCTGGCCATCGCCCAAGCTGGCCCAGCGCGATGGTCTCCCCGTCTGCGATGACACTTCCAAGACCTACCCAGGTCCTTACACAGACGGCGAAGGAACCTACGTAACTTCAGACCGAACCACCCATCCCTACAAATTCCCCAAGGTCCGTAAATGCTGGTACGACTACTTCGTCCTCGAGACCTCAAAGGAGTACACCCCATGGCAGAAAGCCTCCGGCAACATCTACTGCACCGGCACCCAAGTCTGCACTGCCACCAAGCTCGTTGGCAACGAGGTCTGCCAGGAGAGATCCGAAAGCGTCAGTGTCAGCGTCGGTGCTGAGATCGAGGGTTTCAGCCTTGGTCTTGACTTCACGACTACAGATACCAAGTTCAAGTGTATTCAGGCTTAGCATTATATTAAAGTTAAAGTGTATTTTCTAACCTTATAATTAACTTATAAACTTAACTTTGCTACTACCTTTTAATTACCCTAAACCTTCTTCTAGTCTAACTTTTTTCCCTAATTATACTAATATATATATTATTTTAAAACTTTCTTTAAATTAAGCTTTTTTTATATATTAGTATT